TATCTGTGGCATTCTGCAAACAGAACTCAGGCTCCAAAGTTACTTCCAATGAAGAAGATCTGTATTCGTTTGGGAGTTAGGCACTTAAATGCCATATACATTTCAAGTATTTTTGAAAACTGCACGGTTCATTTCCCATCTAAGTGCTGATTTCTGTGTGGTATAAAATCAACAGAATTTGCATTTCCATACTTACATTACTCTCCAAACTCCTTTACAAGACTTTGCAAGCTTGCATCAAAAGTATTTTTCACTGTGTAAGACTGCAGACAGTGATCCTAGAATCATAGAATCATTTAGGTTAGAAAAGACCTTTAACTTAATTGAATCCAACCCTTAACCTAGCACTGCCAAGTCCACCAATAAACCATGTCCCTCAGTGGCACATCTACACCTTCTAAATACTCCCAGAGACGGTGACTCAACCAATTCCCCAGGCAGCCTGTTCCAGTGCTTGACAATATTTTCAGTGAAGAAATTGTTCCTAATATCCAACCTAAAGCTCCCCTGGTGCAACTTGAGGCCATTTCCTCTCGTCCTATCATTTGTTACTTGGCAGAAGTCAATGACCCCCACCTTGCTGCAACCTCCTTTCAGGTAGTTGTAAAGAATGATAAGGTCTCCGCTGAGCCTCCTTTTCTCCAGACTAAACAACACCATCTCCCTCAGTTGCTTCTCATCAGACTTGTTCATCAGACCCTTCACCAGCTTTGTTGCCCTACTCTGGACCCGCACCAGCACCTCAATGTCTTTCTTCTAGTGAGGTGCCCAAAACCGAACACAGTATTCAAGGTGCAACACAGTATTTGATGTACAACAATGATCACTTTGGGAGGATTATTCTTCACTGTTATGAATAATATCTTTGATTCTATATGGTTGATTACATGATATTTTTATTCCTCATGAAGAATGCCAAACTCAGGCATTCCCATGGAGCCCAAAGCAGCACCTCACCTACAGAAGTGAAACAACGTCCAAGGTGCTTGTTATGATCATGAAGAGTCATGTACAAAGCACGAGTATCTCACACTGTGAGAGGTGTCTTGCTTTGGCAGGGCATTATTATTTCTCCAGCATCCATTCAATGTCTGCATTCAATACCTAGAGGAAACTCTTACCTCATTTCTTTTACAGTTTAAAATGTATATGGTCTCCTATTCTGTATGGGAACTGTAATTTCTGTGTTGGTGTGCTCAGTGGTTGGTTGATTATTTTTCCCAGGTCAGTTTTTGCTAATACACAAATACTATACTTTTTCCTTGATTTTGATTGCAATAAAATTAAATAAGTAATTCTGTTTTTTTAAAATATGCATTTTCCTTTTGTTGTAGCTCATATATGCAATGCTATTGCCATGATTTCTGTGATATTTATTTTGGAAAGCTAGTACTTTCCAGGAAAAATCATGAGGTGGTCTTTCTAATGTTTAGATCAGTCTGACACTTTTGCTATCAGTGAAATCTTTTATCTCCTCTCTATCTTCTGAATCTCCATAGCTCTACTGAGCAGAAGTAATACTTAAAGAACACTTTCATAAAAGCAATAGCTGAATAACAATACGGGGAAGAAGAACTTTTCAGCAAAGCTGAAATTTGGATGGAATGTAAATAGGAGGAGAGTCCAGAACAGACCTCTGGTGAAGAGATGTTTACAATTTAGGTGCCATTCTTTATAAGGAATGGATGATAAAAGTTCATGTGTCTGTTTGTTCAGGGTTTTTTCAAACTACATTAAGATAATCACTAAAGCAATTTCTTTTGCGTCTTAATCTGCTAATCACAATGCATGTGGCACTACATCACACCTACATTAAGACTGGAAATACACTTTCCAGAATAATTTTTTTCCAAGATCAGCAAGAAGCTATAGGTAGCACCATCAGAAAAAAACATAAACAGAAAAAATCTGGGTCAAATGCTTCTATGAAATGATGACATAAACACTCAAAAGAGTTGTGTTTAAGACATAATAGACGAGAAGCTGCTATGACTTCTGTGTTGCTGGAGGCTACTGCCTGAGCAGTAAAGCTAATGTAAGGTTTTTAGCCTAAGATGTTGACTTTGCATTGAAATAACCTGGAATTTACCATATGTTTATCATTCAGTCAGAGAACTGACCCCCACCAGACAGGGCAACAGTTACTTACTCTTTCAGCTGGAGTGGCTGAAGCCCAGCTGAATGAGTACAGATGACAATTCACAAAACAGGGCATTTCAAGGGACCTTGAGATTTTAGCAGGTTTTGATGAAGCAGCTTTTAAAGAGAAGGAAGTTGGTGTGCCTATACTTAATACAAATGTACTTTCTGTGTTTCCAGTAAAACTAAACCCAAAGGTCTAGAAGATTCATAGATACTGGAAAGGTCAGCTCCTAGTTGAAACCCATCAGTAACAGCCTATCGTCTCTCTCTTACTTTCCTCATTGACCACTCCTGTGTTACATTTCATCTTCCTTAGACTCTGAATCCTGAGCAAGGACTGCATCTTGCTATGCAATTTTATGACATGTAACAGAAGCTGTTAATAATCATCAATAAAGCCTCTGGATGCTACTGCAGCAAAAAGAAGAAACACCATGGACCAGAACAGCCAACGAGTATCCCAGTGATACAATTATGATAATATTTCTATCCAAAGGACAACAGACTACTTAATAAGACATACAGTTGTATGAATGTTCCTGTCCATTGTCACAGGATACAAATACAATTTTACTTTTTGTGCAAAACCTCCTCTAGAAGAACAAAGTACCTCACTAAATGTGAACTTTGCCTGCATAAATAAAAGCATCTGGTTTGCTGTCTAACCATCTGGTTTGTCTAAAGTTTATAGTCTCCTGAGTGTTATTCACAGGCCCACATATGATCAAGCCTCCACAGACATTTTTATTTGGTAAAAGCTTTCCCACAGCACTTTATTTTTTCTGTTTTTGATCTTGTAAAAAAAAAAAATAATATGTGTGTTGTAATACTGCATGTGTTTGTGTTTCTGTGAACTGTGCAGATCTCCTAGTGGGTTGATATTATGGGCTAGATTCTCTAGGGAACAGTGGAGGGAAAAACTACAAAAGAGATACTTGGAGATACCAGACCCTGTGACTTCTTCACCACTGTCCCTGAGCAAAGGGCTAGGTGAGGGTGGAGATGTTACTTTAAAATGCATCAGCTATTACAATGTAACAAGGCACTGAGAATTGACCTCTGTCTCAGTTCAAGAGCTACAGGTAACAACCACCTTATCGATCCTGTATCAGATGGAAACTCTGTCCGGTTTGATGATCCCATGATTCCCAGCAGCATGCAGTGTCCAGATAACATAGCTGTGTTCAGCCCTGTGTGATGAAAATGCATTTATTTCCCTTAATGCTACAAGCTGGGCAGTCATTACATTTCACTCTCTCTGCTTCACAAACACAAGATTTTCCATCCGGAGCCCCTACAGAGGCTTGCCAAAAGGGTTCATTATCCTTCAGAGTTCAACTGCTCCAGTTTCTGAAGAAAGTGTCTCAGTCCTCTGGTAGGTCACTAAGTACACAACGGTTCATGAGCTCTGATACTTCTGCCTTATCTGTCCTCTTACCACAAGCAATGGAAAATGATTCACTTGAAACAACAGATTCAAAATCAGAAATAGGAATTACCTCAGTAGAGGTTAATATAACTTCACAGAAATCTACCTCTTTCTGCTCTAAACCAAGCAAATGAAGCTTGTGCATAATTGTCTATTTCTGCAGTCAATAACAATAATCACATCTTTTTATCTACCTAGAGGATAGCAACCTATCAATAGTTATATTAAACGAGATTTAAAGAGAAATGAAGACCTACAGATCATGGAGTGCAACACCCTATTTGTAATCTGAACATAACTAAACCAACAGGGGCAAAATGCCTGCATTTTATAGAGGTGCAAAATAGGCGTCCATTTCTGTGGTCCCAGATTTCTTGAACACAGAAAAGCAGAAAGGATCCCAACATGCCTGTGGAAGCTAAGACCCAGGACAACTCCTGTCTCTGCAGAAGAGTTGAGAGAGGGCAGCTGGATCCCACTGGACCCTGCTGTGTTTAGTTTCTAAAAAAGGGAACTAAACTGAGCAGCAGCCTCCAGGGGCTGCAAAATACAGCAGGAAGCTTTGAGATGCCGTTCTGTTCTAAAAAAAAATAATTGTTTCATGTACATGATTTTATTTATTTGTTGGCTTATTTGTGTAGCTTGGGGGTACTGGGTTGTTGCCCGGTCATCTTCTTACAACTTTGATTCCTGTTGACACATGAAAGTGTGAGTGTATGAGCTCACGCACTCGTACTTAAGAGCAAATTCTGTGAATATACAACAGGAGAGTTTTAAGTAATTCAAATTTAGTGTCAATAAATTTCACGAAAGCCTTGTATTGCAAGAAAGATAAACACAGATGGAGTCATATTCCAAATCTAAGCCCTAGATTTTTAGATTTTATCCTTTAACATATGGACAGAGCAGCTAATACACTTTCCAACTGAAGTATGTTAACTGATAATATGATTTTCCAGCCACTGTAAATAGGATGCATGTTGTAAATTTAAATCACAACAGATTCCAGTAATGTCAGGTAACAGAGCTAAAATAACAAGTTAATAATGTCTGTCTCTATGTTCAGATAGAAGATGGGCTTTGTATTTCTTTTGTTTATTGTACTGAAAGTGCTATACTATTCATGCAAAACTAAAGTCAAGACAATCATTAATTGTGATTTTTCCAAGTAGCAATGCTAAGTGTGGCATCCTGAGTAACCTATTGTATTGCTAATTACTTATATTCAAAGAATTTCAGTGTGAATATGCCTGTCACTGTGTTAATTTCTATATTACTTGTGTTTTCAATCTCAGTGTGATATTAACATTTATAATCTGCAAGTGGGAGTCAGTATTCACACCAATCAGGATAAATCCTTGTCTTCCCGAGCTTATGCTTCCTTAGAGAAGGGTAATTAAACTGAAAATTTTGCTTTAGATTTTAAATATTTTCCTAAGAAAAAAAGTATTTATTAACATGAAAATCCTTGTGTGATCCTTATTTGTTTTCAGAACATATTTCCAAGAGCTGGGAAGATTTGTTTTCTGGCATGCATCAAACATTTTTCCATTGGTCATAGCATTCTTGCACTAATTGGGTTTAGAAAACTCTTCAGCTGCAGCCTGGATGAATATGATCTGTGAAAAGCAAGCATCAGAAATAATGGGATCCATTAGCTAATTACACTTTATCATCAAACATGCATCAGCTGTAAAATGTAATATGAGAGCTATATTCTGGTATTCCAGATCTTTCAGGTTGTAAGAGCTGCCATAAACCCCCCCCCATGTTCTTTCCTGAAATGGTTCATACTTCTCAGTGAAGGAATTCACTGATTTTCGAAACACAGAAATCTGTACAAGACAGAAGCCTTCAGAAGCGTATAGAGATGTTTTTGCTTTGTCTGAAGTAGAAGTTGCAGGTAATATACTTTGTTTAGCATGCATGAAATATGAACTTATCGTTTCCCTGGTTAAAATTACCCACTCTGCTAAAAAAATCCTACAATGTATGATTTGATTGTAAATTGGGATACTTTGACACAAGGGATAAGTTTTGTTTAATGTGATTATGGACTATGTAGAAGAAAAGTTTCTTCGTATTTCCTCCTAAATACCCCTTTACTTTTACAATGACTTTTTTTGTTATATTCTATGACAACATATATATAGAACTAGCTGACCATATTTTGCCATACCTCTCACCTTTCTATTAATGTTTCAGATAATACATGAGGAAGATAATCTCACTATTTCTCGCTCTATTTTTCCATGGAGAGGATTTTCTCTCCTTTAAATGAGGAAATTTAGAGTCACATTACAGCTGGCCTTGTTAACATACTGACCCTGACTCTGTGCCTTAGACTCTCAGTAGCTACATACTTCTGTGTTAAGTGGAAACTAAAATGCCATCCTCCTGGAACGTTTACCTTTTTAACTTATATATGAATTTGATTTGAGAGATGACAAAGTCCAAGTGGAGAACCAACATCATGACTTCACACGGAAGTCCAGTTCCTTGCTATTTAAAATTCCAAACTACATAAAATCCCAGAAAACCAAACAGCCAACCCAAAACTCACCCCCCCCCAAAAAAAAAAAAAATCCCCGAACAAAACAATACCCACACAAACACCTAAATAGCAAAAATCTTCAATATATTTGATTCCTGCATAGGGTGACCCTGCATAGGGTCACCACGTAAAATCTGTTAACACTCAAACCTACATTTAAAATTCACTGGTTGCACTACCTAAGCCTGACAGCATAGGTGGGCAGTGGATTGACACCCAGGTTTTGAATGGCAGTTTTTCGTGGGCTCCATACTGGCAAATTTCCAAATACAATACAATGCTGCTCTGTTCAGCTCTGCTCACTGGACTCTGCTTAGTTCACTTTTGCCCATCCTCTGCCATGCCCTTCCTGCCCTCATCCCCATGGAGCCATGTAAGCTACACAATGTTTGTGCTCCTATTGCAAAGTGGGGAAACAACTGGAGACATCAGAGACATCCCCCTGTGCAATACCCAGCCGCCACACCCTTGCTGCTCCCACTAAACACTAGACACAGCAGCAGCGCGTATGCCTGATCTGCCAGAGAATAGGTCACAACAGCATCTTACTCACAGCCTGCTAGGATGTCAAAGCAGCTCCAGCGGAGGAAGTCAGGCAGTGAGACTCTCAATCCCTTAAAGACTCACTAAACGCCCATATAAAAGATTTAGTAGTTGTAAGATATCTGTTAGCCCAAAGATACACAAGACATCAACTCTTAGCACAATACAAAATCACTGTGAAATCAAGGACTTAGAATCAAATCCAAATACTTTTCCTCCTGTTAAGAAAAATAAAAATGCCCTATCAAGAGGGGCTCAACCCTGCCAGCTTTCTCTTGAAAGGCTCTTTCTGGTAAGAGTGATTTATCTGCAGATATGCCTTAATTTCTCTGGGCCTGATAATTCACTCTTTTGCATGCTGAGTAACTATTTGAACTGCTACAAAGTGAAAAAAACAAAACAAAACAAACAACCAAAGGCTGCAAAACAAGTGGCTTACATTCCACAGGTGTAATTATTTTACAAATAAAAAGGAAGTGAAGACAAGCATTTGTAGGTGGTGTTTGGAGAGTCTTACTGTTGCTTTCTGAATCAGGAATACATTACCATTTTAAAGTGCTCTGCAGGGATACACAGGTATTTTGTTAGTGCTTGGACTTTAAAGGGGTTGTTTGTTGTTTTGTTTTGTTTTGTTTTTTTTAATTTCCATTCCGGTATCTTTTTCTTTTGTATATGGTGATGTTTATGATCTAATTTTCTCTTCAAATGTTACAGCCTCATTTCTATGATACATGGTTTCTAAATGCCTTTTAGCTCCTCCCATTCTTATGCTAGAAAGCAAACCAAACAAGCAGTACATGGCCTTTAACCTTATCTTCCAGGCAACACTATCAATATATATTGGTTATCTTCTTATTCTGCTAACAGAAAACAGGAAGATATATATGTAGATATATCACTGGTTTTATATACAGGTTCTTCTAGGATGAATGCTTTCAGTTCCAGCAAGAACATGCACCAGATGAACACCCAAATGAGGATAGATTTTGAAGTACCTCAGAAACCATGCTCTTAAAATACAAGCTTTATACAAGCAGACATTTGAAACCTGCCTATTTAATGGTGTAGTTGGTATTAAAAGATGTGTCTTCATTAGCAGATCTCACATGATGCCCACAGCAGGAGTGGATTGAGATTTGCTTTCTCTTCCTTTAAAAGTGCCCTGAACACCCAACAAAACTCAGTACTGATGGCTCACTTTAGGGTTGATGGTAAGTCTTAGTTAAACCTTTTTTTTTTGTCTAACTGGGTTAATTAGGTATTACTTTTCACCTAAATAATGGTTTTGTAATGTCTTAATATTTCAGCTCCTGCAGCTGCTTTCATTATGCAAGTAAAAGATCTGTTCTATAGAGACACCTATTTTTACCAAACATGTACAAGCTAAATTGGTTTTGAAATTTCCATTCTTCTGTGAAAACTAACTGAAACTGGCCAACGATTGGCAACCATTCCCCTTCCCCAGATGATGGGGAAAGAGAGGATGATAGACAAGTGTGACTGCAGAAACACTGTTTCTTTGGAAACAGCCTTAAAGCCCTCAGAAAACACAACATTTTTCAGGTCACATGTTAAAGCTTTGTACAATCGGGGGTTTGAGATGTGCTAAATCTTACACGTTCTGCACAGTACTACTCACTTGAATAGAACTAATCACTCAAATTGCATAAAGCTAAGTGCTTGTTCAAATCCCCACATGACTGATGACTAATGTTCAGTATTTAAAATCCTGTCCAAAAACAAAGGAACTGATTGTTGCATTTGAACAGTCAACTTTCTAACTAATCATAGTAATTTAAATCTCTATTGTTTAAAGTATGTAAGGAGCATGACTTTGCTTCATTGATAGAGTCTGCTTTTGTCCTTCTGGAAAATTTAGCATATTAAATACTAAGCCTTAGCAGTAAAATATTTTCAGTCTGAAAGCAACTTAAATTCCATGTTTTATGACATATATTAAACTAGGAAAATAGCGATAAAAGCTCCAATTGGTTTGTGAATGCCCTGACTCTAAGAATAACTCGACTTGATCTTAAACATGATGGTTGTTGGACAATTTAGTGGGCATAGAGAATTGTCTGAATGTGCTTCAGTGTACAGTGCTAGAACAGAATACAGGGTTTAATGCTTCATCTTCTCTGGCAGCTTACCAAACTTTGGAACTAAAAGAGCTATGTATTTTGCACTGCTGTATCTCAAGCAGGTCCAGAGAGTGACAGTAAGCCTTTTAGGGAAGGCACCGTTTTGTTGTCTTTATACCAGAAGCCCAGCTGGGTTCTGCTTGTGATGGCAATACCCAGCGGAAAGTACACTTCGGTGTCGCCACTAGATGTTTCCTAAGTAACTGAAGAAACAGCCTCTCCCAGGCTACGCATCCCCTCTATCCCTCTCAAGAGGTCCTTCAAGCTGCTGTAATCCATGTCACAGCTGGTGCCGTGGGTTATCTCTCTCCCCGCCGCTCCTCCTCGCCCTACCCTAACCTCATCCATCTGAGGACGGGCTGCCCTCCCCCAGGGTGCTGAACCGGTCACCCAGAAGTGACACCCAACCCCGGTCAGGGCCTGCGCTCCTCCCGTGGAACGGCGGGACATCCCCGGCGGGCACATTCAGAAGCAGCAGCATTAACTCGGCACGCAAGCTTCAGGTGACAGAAGCTGGCGTCTTAAAGGGGGGCAAAGCCTGCTCAGCGTCTGCGGAGTCCAACAGCACTCCGGATGAAGGCGACCAAAGGGATAAAGTGAGGTAATTCTGAGGAAATTGACCCTACACCACCACGCAGAGGTGGAGCTGGGAAGCCTCACAAAAAGCCCGGTCCACTCCGCTAAACCTTCCCCGGTGCCCACCAATCCCCTGGGGGCGGCTGCAGGTCCGGGTGCCGCGCCTCTGTGTTAGCGGGGAGGAAGCAGACACAGCCCCGCCAGAAGGAACAGCAGAGCCAGAAGCGCAGCCCCCCCGCCGAGCCTCACCGCCTCCACAGAGAGGGCCGCCCCGGGCTGCTAGCTGCAACCGCGCTCCCCAGCCCGCCCCGCTCCAGCTGCCACAAAGCGCGGTCGCATGGGAGAGAGGTGTTTGGGCGCACTGTCGCACTGCCGGAAGACGACGTTGCGCTTTGCGGCCCGGCTGCCCCTGAGAAGAGGCTGGGAAGCCCCGTTCGCCCTTTTCCTGGTGCCGCTGCTGAGGAGAGGGTGAGTACGCGGGGGTTCTGCCCCCCGCTGCCGTGCTGTGCTCTGTCCCCATGCCGCACTAACGCAGCCTCTCTCTCTCTCTCTCTCTTGCAGGAGTCACCATGCCGGCCAAGGGGCCCCTGCAGAGCGTCCAGGTCTTCGGCCGCAAGGTGAGGCCGGAGCGCAGCCCCCGCTTCATCGTCTCTTCGCTCTCGGGCTGGGCCGCACTCTGTGGCCTTGCGTACGCGGTGTCTTTCGGCCCCAGCCAGGGAGCAGGGGCGTCGGCTGCTCGGCAGGGTCGTGTGGCGGGGATGGAGCGAGGGAGGGCCCGCCGTGGCGAGGCCTGCTGGCAGACCACGTGTCCCGTTCCGTAGGTGCTGCACCGCATCCCGTCCCCGGCGCCGTGCCGAAGTGGGGGGACGGGTTCTCTTTCTTTGGGAATGGGCCTGGGGCCCCTGGGTCGGAGTTTTGTCCGTTCTCTTGAGAGTACTCGGCAGCGGCCGCCGCTGTCGTCCCCAGGCCACAGGGTCCTGCCTTATTGCCGGTATGTGAGAGTCGTGTTAAGAGATGGTGGTGGTAAGGTAAAGTTCCCACTGCGCCAGTAATTCTAGGTAACAGGCGCTTTGGAGGAAATGAGTCATGGAAATACCTTGTTGCAGAACGGAGAGGGTATCTTCCATTTATCATTAAGTCTTATAACTGTCGCATTGATAATGATGAACTAAATATAGTTTTGTTAAGATGGTGCCTTGATACCTGGGGAGTTTAAGGAGGGGTTGTTGTTTAGTGTGAGATGTTGATCTTGAGTCTGAACCTAAGATTTTTACGTTGTTAATTATAATTTAACACTGCCAGTGCCAAAATGAAATTCTGTACTGATATGCATTTGGATTTTTAGAAAACAGCAACCGCTGTTGCCCACTGCAAGAGGGGAAATGGCCTCATTAAGGTGAATGGAAGACCTCTGGAAATGATTGAGCCCAGAACTCTGCAGTATAAGGTAAGCATCGACCCAGACTCCTCCCGCTTAGATATTAAAATGTCATTATATACATAATTGCTTGGTGATGGAGAAGAGTTGCTTGCTTCACTGACAGTACAAAAGTTTTGGTGTGTTTTTACCGGAAATGCTGTCATGAAAAATTCAGAAGCTTGACCGCTTGTGGTTTCCTTATGGGGAAGGCTGGGCTTTTTGCTTAACTGGCTTCATGTATGCTAATGTAATTATATGAAGTATTTTTGGCACTTTACGTCTATTTTATTAAATTAAAATGGGAGGACTTAAAGCCCTCCTTTTTAAAGGATTGTGTAGGACTTAATAGCTGTTTAAACACTGCTGATTGAATCTAGAACTGATTACATGAGTGTAAGGTGTAATGTGTAGTGGAAAAAACTGCCTCAGACTACTTCAGATCTTCAATTTTTATAAACTCATTTTGGTTTTATGATGTAGTTACAGCATTCTACTTAAACTGTTCCCTTGCTCTTAATTCCTGTATGCATGTGCTTTGCTGTAAAGATTTCTGAAACTTAAATAAATTCAAGACTTAGTAGATTTATAACGCCACTAGTAGATGAACTAGCAGAGAACCCTGCAAGAGTTGTACTTAATTTGGGTGTATGCTTCTAAAATCATGGCTTTGTTTTTCAGAACTTTGCATAACTTCACATTTTGTAAACTTACTGTAAGTGCTAATCCTTGTGGTTTCTGATCACCAGTGAATTTTCTTTCTGTTTTATTTCCAAGCTGCTTGAACCTGTCCTCCTCCTGGGGAAGGAACGGTTCGCTGGTGTTGACATCAGAGTCCGTGTGAAGGGTGGTGGTCACGTAGCACAAATCTACGGTATGATTTTTTGCAGGAATCTGGTGTGGGCTAGAACAGGTCAGGCCGCTGTGGTGGGTTGACTCTGACTGGATGCCAGGTGGCCACCAAAGTCGCTTTTATCACTCCCCTGCTCAGCAGGACAGGAACAGAGAGAAAAAAAGATGGAAAAAAAACCCTCATGGGTCTAGATAGAATCACAGAACGGTTTGGGTTGGAAGGGACCTTAAAGATCATCCAGTTCTAACCCCCCTGCCACACCACAGGAAGGGACACCTTCACTAGACGAGGTTGGTCCAGGCCCTGTTCAACCTGGCGTTGAACACTTGCCAGGGATGGGGCAGCCAGAACTTCTTGGGGTAACCTGTTTCAGCACTTTAACCACCTTCATGGTGAAGAGCTTCTTCCTGATATCTAAATGTACCCTCTTTGAGTTTAAAGCCATTTCCCCTTTTGCTATCACTACTTGCTCTTATAAAAATTGCCATCTGCAAAGATGAAGGCAGTTTAAAAAGCAAAGGCTGTGTGTGGAAGCAAAGGAAAACTGAAGATTTATTCTCTACTTCCCATCAAGTGGTGATGTCCAGCCACTTCCCAGGAAGCAGGGCTTCAGTACACAGTGTTCCTTATAAGAAATGTTATAATAACAAATGTCCATCTTCCTCCTTGCTTTTATTGTCGTACAGTATGGAATATCCCTTTGGTCGGTTTGGGTCAGCTGTCCTGGCTGTGTCCCCTCCCAAGATCCTGCTCACCCCTGGCCTGCTGGTGAGCAAGGAATGTTGGAGAGGCAGCCTGGATGCTGTGCAAGCACTGCTAAGCAGTGGCCAAAACACCAGTGTGTTACAAACACCTAGCTACCAACAGTAGTACTAGGAAGGCTGCTGTGGGAAAAATTGACTTGAGCTCAGCCAGACCCAGCACAGACATGTATTTAAGAGGCTTGAGTTTAGAATAGTAACTTGCACATGTTTATGGTCTGTTCCTTTTTCCACTGTGTAAATGTAGTTTTTCATAAGGGCTTACTGGTTGTATTTTATGTGCAAAGCTGTAACATCTGTAGTAAGTTGAATGAAGTGAATTGGTAACATTTTAAGGGAATGTGAGGAAACAGTCTGCGTCTTGCAGTGTGATGGGACAGTTCAGCTAAGCAGAAAGATTTTGGGAAGGGAAAAGGGGTTTTATTGTTAGAGGTTATATATTCAGTTGCAAGTTACCATGTTATTCAAGGCATATTCCAGCTGACCTGCAAAGGGTCGGTTTTCTCCCTTTGCAAAGAAGATGGAGGACATACTTTTGCTAACTGTTGATAGAGTTGCTCTTTACACATTATAAGCTGCTATTTTGGTTTGGGTATAGGCTAAAGTGGAGCTGAAGCTGCCTAAAGAGCAGAGACATGTTTTAGTTTAGGAGTAGATTGCATTTGCTTTTTCTCAGAAAATTCAGGTTATCATAGGAATCTTCATCTTGATGTTCTGACAGGTAACAACCTAACCGCACCTTTGCAGTTATTCCCATACACGTGCTTTGAGTTTAGGTTCCTGTAGTGCTATGCTACAGGCTTGTTGTGTTGAGGATTGCTAGAAGAACTGCTCATACCTTCTTGCTGTCCCTTTTGCCTCCTTAGTCTTTGAGCACAGTGATCAATGTTATCCTTGTCAGAAAGTACAGCTGTTTCAGAGAACTATTACAAAGAACTGTGTTTCTAAGGATTTAGAAATTGGCTGCTTGTAGGTGGAAGATGAACCTACGTTAGTATGTGGGAGATGTTTGAAACTGCCCTTGAACAATTCCTTGGCTGTCAGCTCTCAAATGAATTGTGAGTGGCCCCTTGGCACGGGTTCCTTCAGATTTGCCAAAGTAAAGGTCACATGGGATACATGGGAGGGGAGATGAAGGAGGGAAAGGACAATCTGGGGGAAAGCAAGACAGCTTCTCAGATAACTGGCTCTTTGTGTTTAAGTTTTAAATACAGTTGCAATCTTTACTAATCCATTTTTTTTTAACAGCTATCCGTCAGGCTATTTCCAAAGCACTAGTGGCTTACTATCAAAAATGTAAGTTGTTTTGATTGTTGTGTTAACCTTAAGTGGAAGTGTATGGCTTCTGGTAGTTTTGATGGGGGGAAAAAAATGTTAATACAGATTTGCTCCGCAGAAATCTTCCTAAACTGAGGATTTTAATTTTTGTTTTTCTTAACAGATGTTGATGAAGCTTCCAAGAAAGAGATCAAGGATATTCTAATCCAGTATGACAGGACTCTGCTGGTTGCAGATCCACGCCGTTGTGAATCCAAGAAATTTGGAGGACCTGGTGCTCGTGCACGCTACCAGAAGTCTTACCGTTAAAATTGTTCTACAGTCATGTGTCAGTCAATAAACACGATTTGATAATTTTGATGTTTGTAAATGGTGTTTTTTTTTTCTGTTGGGTGAACAGAGATTTTTTTCACTGTTAAGATTGATGCACAAATTTATGGGCATTAAAGTAAAATCAGAGGGCTGTTGGCAGTTCTCTTTTATGCCTTCATAGTAAGTAAGTGTAGATATATTGGGTCTTGGGAATAAGAAAGAGCTTTCTCCTGTTGATCAGTGTGTGGTTAGCAGAATGTGAAGGTTTACATCCTAGTTTTTTGTGTGTACATACAATGGTATAGTAGTTAGTTAAAGCAGAGTTCAATCTTTGCCTTTCTGGGAAATTGAAACAGATGTGCAGACTTTCTAGTTCCTAGATGGCCACTCTTCTGGTGTCACAAACCAGAACATAAGTAGCTTATGTTCTTCCCATATGAAAATGTCTTGGTCTGTTTACAGGATTATTCAGTACTGCACAAAAATGTGGATGTGACTCCCAGGTAGTAACTTCTCTATTGTGTGTTAGGTGGCTTGCCTTAGTATGCCACCCTAGTGTAACGCAACACATGAAGTATGTCTCCACATGCATGTTGGTGCTGGCAGTTCATGTTCTTGCAAAGGACTTCTGTTTTCCTTGAAATACCACACCAAGAGTGAAGTTCCAAACACCGCTATGGAGTATTACATGTCAATGAATACTGTCTGACATCATGGGCTGCTGTGACTTGTGCCTGCTCAGTGGCAAGGAATTTATCCTCTTAAGGCTAATTCCCACAACGTTGGGCTAAGTGGGTATTCAAGCAGCTATTCTGAAGTATGCATTTAAAGTTTATATTGTCAAAACCCAATTAGTTCTGGAAGTTTGTTTTCTTGCTGTATGAAATAATAGGCAGTTTTCTGGATTAGGATATCCAAGTCTAGGAAACTTATTTTTAAAATAACAAAACACCATATATTCATATTTAAAATAGTATTTTGTAAATGTGAAACATAAGGATTTTGTGTTATAAATAAGATTGGGCCTGAGTGAGTCATCCTTCAACTACATGCTCACACAGTACAGGCACAGAGGGATGCAGACCTGAAGAATAACCTTAAATGATTCAACAAAAATAAAAGGCAACATTCCTTTGGAAGCCAGACAGTTGCTTATGTCATGAGCCAGGTGAGACAATTTGAAGACCTTAGGGAAGTAAATGGGAAAAACCTGGAGTTGAAAATCTGACAGTAATTTTCAAAGATCTAGCTAGGGTGTGTCTGTCAAACGTGAAATGGTGGGGAAGTTCCAGTTTCTTGTCCACTGAAGATTTTCTTTCTGGAAATGGTCTCAGGGACAAAAAAGAGTCAAGTTCTGAGGAAGACTGTCGTGGTTTAAAACCCAGTCAGGTAACTCGTTCACTCACTCCCCCCCTTCTTTCCCTCCCCCTACTCCCAGAGGGACGAAGAGGAGAATCGAAAAGAATGCAACTCCCACGGGTTGAGATAAGAACAGTTTAGTAACTAAGGTATAACACAAATCACTACTGCTACCACCAATGATAATAATGATAAAGGAAATAACAAGGGAAGAGAATATAACATCTCACCACCAGCTGACCGATAACTCCCCCCCCCCCCCCCAGCCCAACCAAGCTCTGACCGATGCCTCCTCCAACCCCGTAGTTCCAGCCCTTCCAGGTAGCTCTCAGTTACCTCCTGGGCATGACGTGCTGCGGTATGGAATACCTCTTTGGGCAGTTTGGGTCAGCTGTCCTGTCTCTGCTTCCTCCCGGCTTCCCCTCCTCCCTGACAGAGCATGAGGCTCACAAAGTCCTTGGCCAAACCAAAACATCCTTGTTATCAGCTCTGTTCCCAAGCTGAAAGTCAAAACGCTGCACTGCACCAGCTACCAAGGAGAAAAATGACTGCTACTGCTGAACCCAGGACAAGACATAGGATGTGCCAACAAAAGGCTATATGAAAGGTCTGTTTTGTCCCGTGAAAGAGTTGCGAGTGAGGTCTTAGGTGTGAGCTGACCCAACAGGCATAGGCACAAACCTCAACTGTTCTCTGTTTAAAAACCAGTTTGGAGAGGAATTGAAGAAATGTTGGAGACTAACCAAATGAAAGCCCAGCTTCTGCTGGGTTGCTCTCTAAGTCCGGTGTTCCTGTGTCTATTTTACACTTACACTGCAATTTCAGTATTGGTGTGTGAGTACCTTGACACTTGAGATTTTTGTTGAGCTTTGTAGTGATGTGGTATTCTCTCACTTGTTTAATGGTAGGTCATTTCAGTGTACTTGGTCAACACAGTTAAACCAGCTTCCTTTGTGACTTGGGCTGGGGAACTCGAAAGAATAGGACAATTCTGCCCTTTCGCTTTAGTTTAGGAAAATAGGTGCTCATGGCTTTTTATAAATGTTGACATTTGTGATGATGTATGTTTTTTCTGTAGAAAGGCATTTAAGGCATGTTCACTCAAGTGTAGTTATTCGAGAGTTAACATGTGTAACATTACCAAATTCCTTCTGAAAAGGAATTCTCCATCCATCTCCCATTTTAGCTGTTGGCATCTGCTACAAAACACTGCATTACACGACCTGAATAGAAGCAGAACACTCTTGTTCAACCCCCTCATGCACCTGCTGAAGCAGAGGGCACTGTTGTATATCCTGTCACTGATTTACATAACAGGATTTTTGTCTTACATCAAGTGAATGAGATATTCTATTCTAGACACTTGTTTTCTATCTGACAACACGCATTGTCTGCTTTCCTCAGTTTCCCCTTTCTGCACCCATTTCTCATCCAGCGAGTTCCTCAAGAGTTTCTACCTTGTTGTAGAGTTGCTCACAATTTTTTCCGGCTCTTGGGCTGCTGTAAAATTGTAATGTTCTGCCTCCTAGCCTGGCTTTCTAAGGAAAAGCTGCTACGCAGGGCTAAATTCAAATGTGATTACTTGAATTCCTATGAGTGAAAACTGGCATCTTGATGGATGTTAATTAGCTTTGGCTGAGGAAAAATAAGCCTTCTAGTTGTTTGGCTCATGTGGTGACTGAAAAGCAAGGGCTCACTCGTATCATAGGAAGCGTGTACTGGCCTGCCAGTTGGCACATACGTACACTACGCCATGGCTTGTCCAAAAGTGATTTTTGCCTAGCTGTTAGAGCTGTCAGTTACAGGCAAAAAAGAGAGGACATAAAGTTATGGTGGTGTGAAACTGGGGGAGGCAAGGGGAGATGCAATACCTGATGCCAGTAACCTGAGGGGTAGATTTCACAGTTATGGGGAAAACCTGATGTATCATTTTTTCTGGCCACAGAAGGGCTTGTAACAATTGGAGATTTTTGTTTTGCTGTTCTTTAATGGAAAGGCTGAAAATAAAACTTACACTGCTACTAATATATCCAGAGATGATATCTGCATGTCATTCCTTCAACCAAAAGGCTCTTAGCGTAATAAAAATGCTTTCTGAACTGAACTCTGAGCCTATAAAAATGCCCCGTTAATCCTGTCGAGTGTTGTCATCCCCACAGACTTGCTTTCTAAATGAGAAATATTCATGGAATCAGGCTGGTGTCCTGGGTGGCTGGAGACTTTTATTCTAATGGTTAGTTACTGATCACCCACTAGAGGGCTTAACCTCGTTGGGGAAGCGTAACTACCGTGAAGTTCGGAGGTGCAAGGAGAGAACCTGTTCATAGAAATGTTTCTTTTCGTGATGCCCTGGTTCTGCAAGGATGGCAATCAAGCTCTTGTCACTGAGCATCTGCTCTGGCCAGAGGCACCCTTCCACACAGAAACAGTAACAGTCTGGTCTTCAAGCCCGTGGCGAGGTTCTTGAGCAGTTGTGGAGGTGGGTCTTGGAAGAGAAGAAATGCTCAGAACCTTGTTATCATCCAGTTCCTTCCTTAGTTTCACTGATGCCAATCCTTAGGAAGATCAGGTGCACACATCAAGATGTGGCCTCACTTGAACTGAAAATACCAATTCAGTGAAGGCTGGAGTGTGAGCTCTAAAAAGTACAGTGTTTCGTTAATGACGACAACGGACCCAATTCCAAACAAGGGCATGCTTATACCCGTGGCACTGAAGGCAGTTATTTTCTAGCCCACTATTTATAATCCTAATAAACTGTGTAAGATATAGATAAAGTCTATAGATAAGTCCTCGGAAACGTTTTGTTGGAAAATTTGGGGCAAATTTTCACTGTAATATAGAAATGTATTAATATTTAAATGTTTAAATAATATTTTAAAAGAAAAATCTGTAACCTAAAAATGTAACAGTAGCACGTTGAAGTGTAGATCACTGTGATCTGTGTTGCTTGTTTTCTTACAAAAGTATTTTCTAATGCATTTTTTTCTGCTCAGATGTTTCAGAAGTCCCAATCTGCTAGTATTTTATTACTTGTGTATATAGTGTGTATCATTACCTCGATATAATTTGATTCTTAATATAGTCCTCTGAGTTATAGTTCAGTGTAGGTGGCTGAATAATTCTTTTTCCTTATTAGCTAACATCCTTAATATACTTGAGAATGTGCTGTTTCCTACCCTGCCTTAAGGAGAGATACCCAGACCTAGCGAAGCCTCTTGCTCTGACTCTTACAAAATCCCTTTGCAGCTGATGAGGTTTAGTCTACTTCTTAAATATTAGAAGTTAAACAACAAAAATACTAACATTCATCGAATATTAATATATATATTAATTTATATTAATATATAAATATATATTAATATACGTTAAAAGGATAATTTCAGTTAAACTGAGAGTTCATTTTTGTTAATGGAAAGATTTATTTTTAAAGCTGCATATGAAGCATGGTGTGAAATACAGTCTTGAGGAAGGAAAGAATTCAAGATCAGACTTCTCAGAGGAGTTTGAAAGGGTTTCTAAACCAGACTTAGCTTGAAAGTAAGATAGCATAGAGACTGGTAATGGAATTTGGAAACTCTAAAGCTTGGGTTCATCTCCGCTTGATCCTCTAAGAGTAGCTTTATGAGAGGGTGAAATGTTGATAGGTGCTGCTGAATAGTTCACAGTCTGTGAGTATAACTACAGCAGTGTGGTAATTTGGATCAGGAACTTCCTTCTTTTTCTTCTCTGGCACTCCGGAGTAGTTTTGGACCACTCTGGTGGTCTCTATCTATCCCTAGATAGTCAGAAGTAAAAACAAAGCAAAAAACCTCTTGAAATGTGAATTATGTGAATGGCAGCTTCTCAGATCCAACCGTAATAAATTAATTCTTAAGAGATACTCCAAATACAGCATAGTGTGATAGCACATGTCATTTTGCAGTAATTATCCTTGGACTACCAGTGATCCCAATCTCAAAATAACATGAGTAGTAGGAGTTTCAGTTAGCATTATATGTATCTTTAAAATCACAATTTTTAATGATTCTGTTAATATTTGGATAAAGCAGGTAAGACTTTTCTATTTTAAAATGTAATAATTTTTCATTTGGGTGAAATGGAAGTTCATGTCTCTCCTTTTAGGATAGATAAGGAACATTATATGTTACTTTCTCAAACCATTTAGTTACAGTTTATAAAATAGCATCATTTCAGGGTCTTGCAAAGGTATTTCACTGTAATAAGCAGTAAAATAACACTCAGTGCAAGCCTCAAAGCACACAAAGGTGTGTGACGACTGAAAGAACTCTCAAACTATCATGTTGTGGCAACATTTCTGTCATTGTCTGCTATGTTATAAAGGGCTGATTCAATTCAACAGAGGAGTAATACTCGCAGGTCTAGTCAAAGTGTAACCAATACAGACTCTGCTGAAGAGTTACTATGCATTACTAATGAGAGACATGCAGCCAGAAAGTAGTATGCAGTGCTTGAAAAGCTCCTGAACTTGTTTGTAGCTACCAAACTTGATGTCTCCTTTTCTTTTCCTTTTTTGCATTGCATTATTTTAAATAATGCATCCAACTATCTAGCTTTTGAAGGATTTAAACACACTGTAGAGATACCTACTTCTAAGATGCCATCATAATCAAAGTCATTAATTTGGATAAGTTTCCTAAGTTATACTGAAATGAACATTGTGGGAAAACTCAGTTTAATGATACTGTGGAGTATATTCATGCTTCATTCACTGCTGTCCTCTTTGCAAGGTAAGAACTTTATTCCATTTTCTATATAATGCTAATTTTTACAAGGATTTGTTTTCCTAAATATTTTAATATTACAGCTTCTTCTTTTTCTATCATTACAAAGCAACTTTTTTGACCCTTTCTGGAATTCATACATAGAAAAGGTTTTTTTTTTAACACAGGTTAAAATACTGTATATCGCCATTCTCTCTCACAGATGCAGAAACTAAAACACAGCTCTTTTTCCTTTACTTAAGACACATTTTTATGTCTGAATTTGTTACAAAACAATTATTTAGGAACAAAATTTTAGACTTTTTTTTTCATCTTGTCATTATTGTCAGATGAGTAAGCACCTAATGATCTTCAATGGGGTATGATTTTGTTTGAAGAGACTGCACCTGCCATTTGTTTAAACATATTTAGAATGCTGGGGTGAATAATCACTCTTCTAGTTATAGAAATTATCTTCTTTTCTATACAAATGAATCATAGATAGTTTTCTTCCAGTAATTATAGAGATTTCTAAGGCAATATGAGAAAAAAAGCAGGGGGGTTTATATTGTTTGTTTTAAAAAGCCTGAACTCCAGAGAATTTTAAATGATTTTCAGTTGAGTCTTACAGGTAACATTCAGAAAATGATCATAGCTATCCACCCTTGAAGTCTGATCCTGGAAAGCTCAGAGCACCTCTTGTATTTTATCAGTTTTGTTCTGAGCCTCTGAAGAACTATGAAATTTTTGCTTTTTTTCTTGGTAGCACGTACCAGAACTGAGATGCTGGGAACTTGATGGTCAGTACTTGAGAGTCAAATTCTCAAGAAGAAAAGCATGTAGTGCTACATCCTTTGGAAACAGAAAAAGTTTGTGTGAAGGTGCTCTGGAAAACTTAGGATCATTAAAGAGCAAAGTTCAATAGAGTTGTTTTAAACTTGACAAACTGTAGAAAAAACATTTAACTCGGTGACTTTTTAATCTACAGGATCTTATTGCAAGCTTTCTCTTTTGAGAAGAGATTCAAGGTAAGTTTTTTCCCTTACCTGTTAAGTCCTACAAACAGAACAAGAATGAAAAAGTGTGACACAGTGCAAATTAGAAAGTAAAATACAGCCTTGATTTTGACATGTAAAATGTCATGTACGTGTACATTGGATGTAAAACACACCTTCAGAATGTTTACAACTCTTTTCAAAGACTTTACATGAAGGGCATGGGTCCTTTGTTTGAAAATTGTTTGAAAAATGGAGGTCCTTATGAAAAGTGATACTTCTATGCTGTTGAGAAAGCTTAGAGGAATAATGGAATGAAACCAGCATGAGATCATGATTTTGTGACTGGAAAAATACATTAAATGAGTATCCTTCAGCAGTTTTAATTGCATGATAAAATCCTAGCTGCTATTTGAAGCACAGAAAAGTAAGTGCTATACAGCCTTAAGATAAACATTTTCAATACAAATTTTCATGTAGAAGATAAAATCCAAACAAAACCCAAACTAGGGAATGTTCCTGATCCCATTGAATTAAATGGGAACTATACCATCAGTTTCAATAGAAGCACCCAGTCAGACATACCTTCAGATGTTTAATGATGTCTAACACATCTAGTGAATGCAAGTCAGACGATATGCCATCTCGGACTGTTGATAAAACTAAGTTTGTTCTTGTTTCTAATCTTAATCAGAAATTTAAGGAAATAAAAGCTGGAGAGTTATCTCTTGCTATTGCAAGTAGCATCATGGTATATTCAAATAATACTTGAGGGAACTCACAGCCACTCACACGCAGCATCAAGTAAATATGAAGCTGCTTTACAAGTTTGTATCCTGTCATGTAAGCCTATTTTGCCTATTTACATCTCCTTCACAAGCTCCAGGTACCTCCCTGTGCAAGCAGATGCCAGAGTGCTGCCCAATTCGGTAAAATGAGATCACACAAAAAAGAAAGAAAAAAACCACCTTTTAAAATGTTAACCCAAGAAAGACTGCTTTGATAAAGTGATGGTAATCAGAGAGAAACGCTTCTCTCTGGGGAGCTGCTTATTCAGGTTGCTCCGGGGACCTTTGATTATACAACATCCTTTTTGTTTTCTTCCAGAAATGACTTTAATGCAACAAGAGAGAAAAGAGATCTCGTAACAGCCGAGGTAGGTTATACCTCCAAAAGCAGGAGGGAGGGAAAACCCTTCCTGCTTTTCTGCTCTGGGTCTTTGCTATGCTTACAAAGGAGCCTTTGTGAGGAGAAGGGCAGCAGTAACAGGAGGACAGTGTTGAGGAGCAGCAGCTATATACCTGCTCACCCTCCTCCTGAGCCCATGCCCTCATGCCTTCATCCTCTCTCAGCAAAGCACCTGGTGGGTGACCCCTTGACGAGCTGACTGACGCACACCACAGGAAATAAACCTGTGATTCCTTTGTCTGTTGTGAGGGGGAACAGAAAGCCCTGGAAAGCTGTTAGTTTGGTGGGAGCCATGATGGCAGCACCACCAGCAAGGACCCCTCCCACATGTGGTGCAGTGGTGGCTCCAGCCCTGCCCTGGTGCCTACCACTCTGGTCCACTGCTGCCTCAATGCTGTATCTCAGCAATGTTGTGCTGAAACTTAATAGTAAACAGGGGAATATCGTTCCCCTGCTGGTACACACCTCAGGCTACAGAGCCCAAATGGGGTTTGGTGAGGGCAGATGGGTTGCCCAAGGAGATCACTCCTCACGGTCCTGTGGGGAGCCCGCAGCTGAACCATGGATGATTTTCTCCAAGTCACTTTGAGATCCATGTGCCTCCTGCCAAGTCAGAAGGTAGCTGGTGTGAAATGCTGCACTAAGGTGAATTGAGCCCCTGAGGGAAATAGGACCTCAGGACTGATGGTGTCTCAGGAGGGCGTTCAGCAGGAAAGTGCTTTCGCAGCAAGGGCCCTCTGCCTTCCTGAGATAACGTAAAGGCCAAAAACTGCTTTCCAGATGAGGACAGCTCTGGGTAACTATCAGGGTAAATGGACACGGGTCTTGTTGTACAGGAAGGGAAAGGATTCTCTCTCTGCTAGCAGCAGGCCATGGAGACCAGGAATAGTTTTGGTGCAGGGGCCGTGAGGTGGTGATTTGATGAAGTCCATTTCAAGTTGATTTTAGATGGATTGTGCTACTTGGTTTCATCCTACATAGTATTTCCATTTGGAAAAGGGAAACTTTTATGTCATTGTGCAAGGCATTAGGGAAACTTCATCTAACCCATTCTCTGTGCAGTGCTGTTCACTTTGAGGTCCATTAGTTCAAACTCCAGAAGTGGAGAATGACTGGTGGCAGGAGTGAAGAAAGAAATTAGCTTACAAGTAAAGACTTTAACAATTTATTTTGCTTACTTGTGCAGCTGAAGGCTGGCATTTATGTCTGTGGGAGCACAGAGGGTTAGCTCTTTTCTCGTAGAACATCAGAGATGGAACAAATAACCACAGGGAAGAAGAGCTATTTAAGCAAAAGGGCCAAGCTTTATAAAGCTAAATGATTTAAACTGGCCGTGAAATATTTAACTACCCAGCACTTCACCCTGATAAACTTTCCGATCAGACTACTGGGGCCAAAAACCCCGGAGTGCTTTCAGCCTGGGGTGGGATCAGTTCTTGGAAGAGACAATGCAACGTGAGAAGCTGCAGTAGCAGAGTTCTGGGTCCGATCCAGGGCTTCCTTATAGTCCAATGTTCCTTGGTTTATAAACAAGACAGGGAGCAAATCAGGCAGATCCGCCTCCTCTTTTGTTTTGGGTGAACCAAAATGCAATTCTGAAGGATTTCAAGGAGGACATGAAATCCATTGCAGCTGAAGTGGCCACAGTATGCAGCACAGAGCAAGATCTAGGAGAGAGGATGAAATGGATGGATATCACATCTTTGAGCCCTCCAACTATTGGTATTTGACCACAGTGAAAAGGGCAGGAGTGTTCTCTGTCCCGTTACTCGTCCTTCCAAATGTAAATGCAAAACTTATCAGGTGGAGTCTTGCTGATTCATTGGTGCAGGAGGGGATGGAAAGGAGGCCATCGGTGAACCTTCTTGTCCCCATGATGCTGGTTGCTGCAGTCACTGTCACACTGGCTCATGCTGTCAATCCCTCCTTCAACACCCATGACTGTTCAATGTGCTGGCTGAGCCACAAATTATTCTTCTGTATTAGAAATCCCAACCCAGTGTTAGGCTGCAGGGCTTCAAGCTTGTATTGGCTCATTCCTAAAGCACAAAAACCCTGATTTTGCTTTTATGTTTGTCTGACAGATTCAAGCTTCCTCTGCTCTGTCACACCTTCATGGGACCTTGACACGGAGTCCTCCAGGAGGTCAGTGCCATGATCCTCACTTGCAAGAGGAGAGATGGTCCTGAAAATGTTGCCTTCCCACCAGCTCTCCTGTGTTACTGTCGGTTACGGAAGCCCTCCTCATTGTGTCCCCTATAGAACCATGCCTTGTCTTATTTACTTGTTTTATCCATGTTAAATCTGGAGGACTTTTTACAAGGGCATGTAGTGAGCAGACAAGGGAGAATGGTTTTAAACTGACAGAAGGGAAATTTAGGTTAGATATTAAGAGAAAATTCTTCACCATGGGGGTGTTGAGACACTGGCACAGGTTGCCCAGAGAAGTTGTGAATGCCCCATCCTTGGAAGTGTTCAAAGCCAGGTTGGACGGGGATTTGAGCAACCTGGTCTAGTGGCAGGGGTTTGGAACTGGATGATTTTTAAGGTCCCTTCCAAACCAAACCATTCTATGATGGCATGAAAATTCCTGTTAAAATAATACTTTCAAAATATTTTCAAAACCAGGAACAGCCAACTAAACCAATACTTTAAAAAAAAAAAGTTTTAGAGGTGTAGTTCTATTGCAATTTTTCTTTTCTGCCCCTTTTTCTGTCTTTGGCAGAGGATGTAAGCATGTCTGAGAGGCATGTAACTGGTTATGTGAAGGGACAGGGGTGTTCAGGGAATGAGCACACAGCTGCTCCTGACGGGTTTTTAGCACTGTACAAACATATAAAGCAGGTCCAAGTTACAGAAGTTGTTTTGCAGAAAAGCATATTGTATCCAACTAAACTTCGATATCCTTCCTGGAAAATACATATGTCTGGGTAGGTGCTTTCTGTTGTGTTTTTCCATGTAAATAAATATATGTAATTTTACAACTCACAATTCTAACAATAACAAAGACGTTTTCCACACTAGTTCTGTTCTATAAACAGCATTTTCTGCTTTGTTGGTATTTTCAGAGTATCTGTGTATATTTGGAAAGCAATTCTTAAATGGAAAAAAATCAAAACTAAGCATGGAAAGGAGTTTTCACAGTGAAGGCTGAAGTTCTTAGTCATTCCGTAACTTCTGTAACTTCTGTGTGTGCTTCATTATGAAGGTCCCATTTTGTTCCCATTTAATGTCATTAGCAGCTTTACCATGGCATGGAAGGGCCTGTTTATGTCGTTTACTTCTTCACAATGCTTTTTTAATCTGTCAGCAAGATTGTAAGCATTTATATCTAGAGTTTTCATGCTCCCCCAAGAAGGAAAGCAACTATCTGCAAAACCTGATGAAATTTTGCTTTTTGTAGGGAAAGGGACTACCTTTCTTCCCTGCTTTTTGGGGAACTATGATTTAAACCCACCTCAGCAAATGATTACTAGATGACAGTGAAGTTTAAGCTTCCAAACAGGCTATAAAACCCCTTAATGAAACTGCTTTTGGAAACAATTACTAATTATAATACCAAACAAGCCATTCCCATGGAATCCGGAGTCTCTGACTCCAGCCACCTCTTATGCAGAAATAACCTTTTTTTTAGCATGGAGGGAAGGTTATTTCTAATTGTTTTTTTACTCTGTAAATTATATATTCTGGACTGCTCAGAAAGTCACTATACCCTTTGCTGTAATGCTTAGGAGGGAGGAGATGGACATGTATAAACTGTGCTTAATTTAGTCAATTAGAATAATCTGTGTCCTGTGTATTTCAAGATCAGCAGGACTGGGATTTGGTTTCTTTACATGGGAACTTGACCTTTTGTTTGCTGGGAGGAGGTTGACCTTTTGCTCCTTTGTTAGTTTACAAGTCTCAAACCAAATGGGAGAGAACCTTGCTTCTCTTTTAACCAGGGAACACAAAGGATAAAATTAAGTAGATGTTAAAAACTGGAGATTGTTGTTGGTTAATTTTCTTAGCTGATATAACTACTTATGATTTAACAATAAACAGATTTAATGTGGATCTCTCAGCCTGTTTGCAAAATACCGTATCTTCTAAAAGGCTGCTATGCTTGTTTACAGGTTCATGTTCCCTGGAGTGCCTTAATGGAGCAGCCTGCACAGAGGCAGGTGACTGTGACTGTCAGTTATTTCAGGCTCAAGGAAGCAGATGCCAAATTGGTGAGTTTTGGACCCAAAGAGGCGAGTTTCAGCTTCAAGTGAGACTTGAGGTGCAGGTTTTTGAAACTGCAATGTTAACAGCATATTTATGAGTCCCCTGTGGTAGGACTGTCATTCCACTAGTACCTAATAGGATTAAAATGATATGCATTAAGGATATATAAAAAGCAATATCAGGAATGCCTACATTTTAGCACTTGAGCTATAACGATGCATAGATGCTGTAACAGATAGATCACTGTCTAGTACACCAGTAGCTGGCCAACTTTTTTTAGCTAGCTGAATAACCAAAAAGTCACTGCATTTTTCTAACAAATAGTGACTTATTTCAAATAAAATTACCAGCTATCTCAATGCACTGGCTCCTGGAACCAGTGCAGGGTTCTGGTTTCTGTGTGTAGGGACCAACAAGAATTGTCTTCCAAGATCTGCAGTAGACCTAAATCTCTTGCCTCTACTTCTCATAGAATTATAGAATAGTCAGGGTTAGAAAGGACCTTAAGATCACCTAGTTCCAATCCCCCTGCCATGGGCAGGGACACCTTCCACTAGACCAGGTTGCTCCAAACCCTATCCAGCCTGGCCTTGAACACTGCCAGGGATGGGGCATCCGCAGTTTCTCTGGGCATCCTGTGCCAGTGTCTCACCACTCCCACAGTAAAAAATTTCTTCCTCATATTCAACCTAAATCTCCCCTGTTTAAGTTTTAACCTGTTACCCCTTGTCCCATCACTACAGTCCCTAATGAAGAGTCCCTCCCCAGCATCCCTATAGCCCCTCTTCAGATACTGGAAAGCTGTTATGAGGTCTCCACGCAGCCTTCTCTTTTCCAGGCTGAACAGCCCCAACTTCCTCAGCCTGTCTTCATACAAGAGGTGCTCCAGTCCCCTGATCATCCTCGTGGCCCTCCTCTGGACTTGTTCCAACAGTTCCATGTCCTTTTATGTTGAGGACACCAGATGCACACAATACTCCGAGTGAGGTCTCATGAGAGCAGAGTAGAGGGGGAGGATCACCTCCTTTGACCTGCTGGTCACGCTCCTTTTGATGCAGCCCAGGATACGGTTGGCTTTCTGGGCTGCAAGCGCACACTGAAGCCGGCTCATGTTCATTTTCTCATCAACCAACACCCCCAAGTCCTTCTCCACAGGGCTGCTCTGAATCTCTTCTCTGCCCAACCTGTAGCTGTGCCTGGGATTGCTCTGACCCAGGTGTAGACCCTTGCACTTTGCTATGTTGAAATTCATGAGGTATTGAGATTCATGAGGTGAAGTATATAATAATTAAAATGTCTCCACTGAAGAAAATGAAAAACTTACAATGATCTCACATGATTAAAACTGTATCATAAGAATTAATAAAAAGTAAAAACTGACTATATTTAAAGTTGAAGAAATTAGTTTATCTTTTGTCCTTGCTATGTATTTCCTTTTAAGCTCTTATTTCCTTTCTGAGCTCTTACTTTTGTAGATGCCTGTGACACTTGTCAATGTTTTACTGTGCTGCTTGTAAGCTCAATGTGTTGTCTCCAGTACCCAACACTGGTAAGGACCGAGATGGGATTTGCAAATCGTGGGGACAGTATCATTTTGAAACATTTGATGGCATCTACTACTACGTCCCAGGAAATTGCTCCTATATTTTTGCAAAAGACTGCAGTACTCCAGAACCACAGTACACTGTTTGGGTGAGTATGAGAGCATATGCTAGAAATAACATACTGAGTATTCCTCTATTACAGGAATTGCATTGTAAGTAAGATAAATAGAGAGACAATAAGTGGATCAGGCTGTTGCATTACTTACTTGAATATAAAACTGTGCTGCTGGAAAATGTCTAAGCCTATGTGCAGTAACTCAAACCACTGATGAAATGATAATCAACAGCCAGTATATTAAAAATAGTATTTCTTACTCCCCCTGTCCTAAAAAGGATCTTTGATCTCTCTTTTCTGGAAGCAGAAGTCCTGAAGCCGACCTTGGAAACAGCAATAAAATTTAGCTGTCAGGTTGTAAAAAAATTTGAGTTGCTGAGTAAAGTGCAAGCAGCTATCACCTGCCTGAGAGCTTGGCTCCCAAGCATACTGGGTACCAATTCACAGCCATCGGCATGCCTATGGGGAGCTGCCTCCATCCCTTCTGTGGATTTGCATTCTACTTTTAGACTACCTCTACATCATGCAGCGAAGATTAACAACTCAAAAGCCTTCATCTTCACCTATGCATGGAAGGCACTCTTTTTAGTAATTTCCTCAAATTGCTGAGTATCAGTGGTTAATGACTTTGGGTCAGGGAGAGTTCATACCTATACCTTCTTTGAAGGAAGTTGCCTTATTTATCAGGCTGTTGGTTACTGTAGGGAGAGGATATGAGCTCATTGTATTACATTTTACACACTGTTTGGGATTTGGTGCTGACTGGGTAGGGGAGAGGAGACAAGAGGGATCCTAATTCTGAGCCCTAGTGGTCAAAGTTCCCCCAGGGCCAAGGGCAGACCTAGATGCTGATTTCTGCTCCAAGGACTAGTTTTCCTTTACAAACACATAACCTCCTCTTCCCCCAGATAATATCATCTAGTGAAGATAAATCTGCCATTAAAACTACCATTTCTATTCACTCAGGTTATAGACAGATGCTGGTACATCTGTCTTCCAAGATTTCATTTTAATTCTTTGGATTCTGTGTGCAGCTATCTTTTAGGACTTCTCAGAAAATGCTGTACCAAAGTCCAAGCTTATATTAAAATTTAGAATCAATATTTGAGTGGATTCCAGCTGCTCTAGAAAGAGAGAAACTACCATTCAATTGCTGGAATAAATGTCATGCTTTGCTAAAAACTGAAAATGTTTATTCAGAAAAGTCATAAGTAAGGTTGAAACAATGCAATCTCTACAGGCTGGGCAATGGAGAGCCAAGAACTTTGTCAGATCCTCACATTATTGTCCTTCTGGCTTTAATAATCTACCTGTCTAGAAAAGGAATACAAGAATTATTTAATTTTCCTTGATTGTGTTTCTGTCTTGGTCCAGGTTTACATAAAAGCCATTCATCAGAACTAGTAACTTTTATGATGTCTTTAGTTATTATTATCTTTACGCATAAGTATAAACTATAAGCAAAAACTCTTATGCTTTCCCTCCTTTGGTTTATTTCACTCAGAGAAACAGTAACTGGTTTTTACTTCCAGGATTAAGTGTCAATTTAGGAAGATTAATTTGAGTATGTGTTACCACTGTATGTGTTTACCAACAGATCTTTTCTAAAAAGCCTGATAGCTCTAGTTACTTTTGAAGTTTCCTTTACTATGTTGGCAAGATGTTTCCCAGTTAGTAACCTATTTAGCTTCACAGCATTGTCAAATAAACTGGCAATGCAACTCCCATCCTTCTCAAATAACAGTGACACACACTCATAGGAATTATATTCCAGCTATCTGAACTCTGTCTACATTTTAATTTACCTAAATGATAGGTACCTAAAATTCGCAACTCATTCCTCTGTCTCATCAGTGTGGTCTAAATTCAGCTCACAGACCATAGTCTAGGGCATCCCACAGGTTTGTGTGTCTCAGCTTCCGTGATATTAATGAAAGCTGTTGAAGTTTTGGTCAAGCCCTTGGAGTAGGTATGAGCTTAAAATCCATTCAGACTATTGAGTGTAATTAACTGTGTAGTTAAATGTTTAGAGCAGAGGCACAGAGCGTTGGACACCTACATCCCTAACATCAGTCAGAGTAAATGTGAACCCACTGTTTTCAAGTCCTGAGAGAATGTCCTGGCCAACGAAAGCTATGTGATGTCTGGGAACAGGGACTTTTCTGCAGTAACTGATCTGCCATGCAGAAGGCTGGCAGTGCAAAGAAGCCTCCTTTTTGCCAGATTATACAAAGAGTGCTAGTTTATCATGCTGGTTTCAAGGTCTGATTACACATTTTTTCATGCAAGATCTACTTGGCTGCCGTCAAACTGTAGACATGCAGTAGACAAAGAGTAGATATCCAAAATCTCAACAGATCCTGAGTTCAGAAAGGTGTGCTGTAGTTCAGCTGGTGTCAGTCTCAGCTGACATGGAGAATGCTGGCATTACACTGAGGTTTTGTATTGGTTTGTAGTCCCCTCTTAGAGATCAGACCTCTAGAAACAGAGCAATAGAATTGTCTCCTCAGTGCAATTAACAAGGCTCTACGTTGACAGTTACAAGCCATCTCACTACTATGTCCCTGAAGTTCATCTACATAAAATAACTGGCTATGTCACCCAGTACTTCACCCACTGTCTTGTGATGATTTGTGCTATTAAACTCTCACTGTATTTCTCAGTAGTATTGAGTAGCGTGAACTTCTAGCTTTGCATATCTTTGTGATATTTTTATATTCTAAGTATTTATTTGTAAAACTCTTTCAGTAATTAGTGCATAGAAATGAAGAATATCATATATGAGTTTATGAAAAATTACCTGATGACATCATTGAGAACAAACATTTATTCTTATTGTGTGTACATTTCTCCTCTCTAAGGTTCATAACAGTCCTCACTGTTATGGTTCTGTATATACTTGTCAGAGGTCCATCAGCTTGTTTTTTTCAAACCAAGAAGAAATAATTATTTCAGGACATGAAGTAAGAAAAGATGGAATCAGGTAAGTGTTCTAATGGTTGATTTTAACGTGATCTAATGGTTTGATTTTAAATGGTTGATTTTAATTGCCAAAAGATAGTGTGGAGTTTGGGAAATTAATGCTTTTTACACCAGCCAGAGAAAATGGTTTGATGCATATGTTTATTGGTTGCTCACTGTTCTATATTGTTCTGCTCTGACAGAGCTCTCCTGTGAGCAGATGTAATGGTGCAGATGTAATACCTGAGTGAAGATATAGCATATGCTTCCCACATGAATCTTGTGTTCAACTTCTCAGCTGCAACCTGGCAATTACCCATCCCTACTTTGTATAGACAAAGTCTGTATTGGGCAATTCCAGCTAATCCTTGGTGCATCCTGATACCATTTTTATCAAGGTAGTTATTATTTGTTCTTGGTAGCAATACTTAATGTAAGACATAATCTTCTAGACAAGTCTGAATTGGTTGTATCAAAGATCTTAAGCCTCCTTTTGGGCAAAAACTCCACAAAACATATCTGAGGTACATCAAACCCTCAATTTTACCTTTTTTTTTTTTTCAATAAGTAAAAAGATGAATGCAAGGCTGGTTAATAAAGTACAGGAAATTTCAAAGAGTTGTGGCCATACCCTTCAATATAATGTTGTATCTGTTAGCATCTGAGAGTGATAGCTACTGTGATCCTGTTCATCCCAACAGAAACTACTTTGGAAGATTAGGATTGGATCTGTACTGCCGTGTTATTGTCCAGTGGTCTTTGGCCAAAGGAGGAAGATACACAGTATCAATACAGGTCAATAGTTCTGTACTGTAAGTTCCTCCATTTGCAGATGAGGGCCAGGAGACCTCCATGTATGGATAAGGAGCTGCTGAGGAAACTTAGGGGGAAAAAAGAGGCTTATAAAAGGTGGAGGCAAGGACAGGTGGCCTGGGAAGAATACAGGAATGCTGTTCGGGAAGCTAGGGACCAGGTTAGGAAAGCTAAGGCTCAGTTAGAATTAAACTTGGCTAGGGATGTGAATGATAACAGGAAGGGATTCTATAGGTACACTGAAAATAAAAGACAGATTAGGGACAATGTGGGCCCTCTCCGGAAGCTCTCAGGAGAACTGGCTACACAGGATTTGGAGAAGGCTGAGGTTCTGAATGACTTCTTTGCCTCAGTCTTCGCTGGCAAAGTCTCTGACCACACCACCCATGTTTTGGAAGGCAGACACAGGGACTGTGAGCATGAAGACTTTAGGCCCACTGTAGGAGAGGATCTGGTTCGAGACCATCTTAAGAACCTGAATGTGCACAAGTCCATGGGACTTGATGAAATCCATCTGAGGGTCCTGAATGAGCTGAGGAATGAAGTTGCTAAGCCACTGGCCATCATATTTGAAAAATCATGGCAGTCAGGTGAAGTAATGGGTTCAAACTTAAACAGGGGAAGTTTAGATTGGATATAAGGAAGAAATTCTTTCCTGTTAGGGTGATGAGGCACTGGAATGGGTTGCCCAGGGAAGTTGTGAATTCTCCATCCCTGGCAGTGCTCAAGACCAGGTTGGACAGAGTCCTGGGTGACATGGTTTAGTGTGAGGTGTCCCTGCCCATGGCAGGGGGGTTGGAACTTGATGATCTTAAGGTCCTTTCCAACCCTAACTATTCTATTCTATGATTCTATTCTATGTTTAACCCAGTGATGACCCTGTGCCCAAAAAGGCTGCTGGTGGTCATAGTGTCATGCATAGTGTCACACAATGCAGCAGCCTCATGAAGTCATGTATTCTTCAGTGTGCCCATGCTAGGCTTTGAAAATAAAGATTCATTATTCTTTCAGGCATCTAATTTGTACAACCAATAGGTGTGTACAGAACAGCATTCATTTTTGATGTTGCATATAGAGAAGTAAACAGAAGGTAGGAAAAACATGATGAAGAACTAAACGGAAGTGACTGTATACGCCTGGAAAAGGGGGTTTAGTGAGCTAGAAGGTGATGTTTTTTGTGACATTTTTCTATCACTAACCTATCTCATCTGAAGGAGGCTATTTATTTTTTTCAGATTAGTTTTGCCTCAGACAATTGGAAATGCTTTCTTTGAGAGACTGGCTGACTATATACTGGTGAAGACCACCTTTGGTTTTTCTCTTGCTTGGGATGGAAACTCTGGTATTTATATCAAGCTGACAGAAGATCAAAAGGGAAAACCTTGTGGCCTCTGCGGAGATTTTAATGGCAATAAACATGATGACCTGAAACTACAAAACAGTAAGTCAGTAGCCTGGAAATACACCCTTGTGTGAACAGCTTCCATGCTCACTTTTAATATAATACTGTAAAAAAGTAGAGTCCTGTTTCAATTCTTTCAGTAGAAAATAGAATATCTGCTCTACTCATCCTTATAATTAAAGTTGCTGAGGGAAAAGGTTCAAGAAAGTATTTAAACGTATGCTTAAGTCTCTTCTTGCTCAGCAAAGTACTTAGGGCATGTTTATCTTAGCTGATGAAAGTGCCTTCAAATAATAAATAAATTAACAAATGCATGTGATTTTCTCTATGTTTTAAGGTGGAGAGAGAAGGAGAGAAGAGCTAAAATAGTAGTATTTGCAAAAAGCACCATCTCCACTCGTTCCTTTGTATGAGCATCACAGAAGTGCCAGTTGAAATGTGTAAATTTCAAAGCTATTTCCAGGTAGTCCCTTGTATGCATACATGGCATGAAGTATCATAGGCCTCTGATTACCCTGTAGGATAAGGATCTGCCCAATGCTGTGTCTGAGGCAGAGATGACTTACTAAACTGGTAAAACATTCTGTAGTCTACGTAGGGACTACACCATAGGGATTTTTGTCCTACTTGCAATTAATGTAAAAACAAAACAAAACACCCAAACCAAAACAGAAAAAGAACAAGCTTGAGAATGTGAGGAATATTTTTCCCAGCCTCTGATAAAAACAAAGACAGGACTGTTTTACTGTTACCATTCATTGCTGAGAGAATCTCCTCCCATGACCCTGCATATGCTTATGTCACAGGAGTTATCTCACTGAAACTATTTTCACCCTCCCCTGTTGTTTTTTTTTCCCATTTTTAATGGTAGATAGTGGAGCTCTTTGACTTTCTAAGTGAAGGAAGATGCAGTGTACCTATCTTTGTATAGTCTTTAAAAATGTGCCCAACATATATTTCTCATAATTCTTCTGCCATGGGAGCAGTAAGTTGCCTGTTTCATGCATTAACTTCTGCACAGCAGACTATATTATGTTTAATAACTAGTTAAAACTGGTGACCTGTAATACTGGAGAAAAATGGAATTTGGGGAGATAACAAATTCTCATGATCTCTAAAAAATAGTAATTACAATATTTTTAAATATATTACCAGTTATAGAAGACTTCCAGCTCTTAGATATCTTAATTTCCAGAGCTATATTTCTTCACCATCATAATTTCTTCTAACATTTTTCTTCATCAGAAATTATGGTATTACTGTAGTGTACAATCAAGAGCTCTATGTATCATTTTAACCTTGAAGCATTGTATAACATGAGGCCTTGACTCTGTGCAAATACAAAGCTCGAAGTTCTGATATCTTCACAAGACTAGGCTGCTAATTCAAATTACTTCTCAGCCAAAATTTTTTTCTAAGTGTTTCCAAAACTTATAAGTTATTTGGGACGATCATTTATCTTCCCCAGCTAAATTACTCCCCCCATAGTATAAAGGACACCTTTATATCTATTCTGCATCTTCCAGACTCTGAAAGTTCTCTATTTTCTATGGCCCAAGTAAATAAGTTGCTGCAAGGCATGTAATACTCCATTTCAAAGCACAGTTTAAAACCAAATTCCTTTTCCGTTTCCTTCATCTTTAATGGCATTTTTGTATTGCTCTAATATATAGCCTATATTTGCGTACAGAACTGCTTCAAGGACAGTGATTTTATTTTGTGGCTTTTTTTGAGCAGATACAGATTTTTTTCAAGCCATGTAGAAATGTAAATAAAGTATTTTTAATATTTTTTGCAGAAGCAGAGTTATGTCAACAGGTTTACCTCTAGATCAAACCCCAGCTTTTTATTTTTGGGAAGGGTTTTCTGTACAAAGAACTGCTCTGTCTGAGAGGGAGAAATGCTTTAAGTCTCCCTGGCTGTTAAGTAAAATAGACTGATAGGGTCTTATCTTTGTTTATTTGTGAAGATCCAAGAACAAATATCTGATTAGTGTGCTTTGGGGCTTTCCACATTGCAGTGTCAAACTTTGTACATCTTGTTCTAGAAGCAGTTAGATTAAATTTTGGATAGTATAGCTGTGTGAAAAGAACTGTATCTGATTTAATTTCAGTACCGTGACTCCCAACCATGCATAGATACAGATAATTGTAGCGTAGATACCAATTACTGTAAGGGTCTTCAAGATGTAGGCAATTTACCCTTTTTAACACACTTAACATAGAGAAAATATAATATTTAGTTCTTGCCACAAAAATATGGACATTTGGGGTCTGATTCTTTACTGCCAAACTCCCTGTATGTTCGTGTATCTTCCTCAGCCTGTTGCCATGACTTCCAGTTATGTGTCTTGTTCATTAATTCTCCCATGCTCATGCTGTGAGGAGCGCTGGGCATGTAGTGGTGTGTTTGTTTAAGGGCTTTTCTGTAGCAAAGGAAATGGAAGGAGATAATAGTGCTGACTGACATTTGTGAAACATGATGAAAGCCTTAAACTGTCTTAAAGAAATTTTTTTTTTCTTAAGTATTCAATACATTATGCTTGTCCTTATTTGAATATTTGTAATTAAATTGTCACTGACTGCTCTTAAAAAAACCCCAACCAATGCATTGTCATATATTTTTTTAAATCTTTTTATTTAAATGCAGTAGAAAATACTTAAACAAAAAAAGAAAACTGAGATTTTTCTACACCACCTGTACTCTGAACATATCTGTAAGTGAGACAATGAACACATTGAAAAACACCAGGAATTTCCAAGTTGTCTTTGGAGTTTGTATTGACAGTTTGTTTTTTTTTTTTTTTCCCTGGGTGCTCTTCCAATATTTTCGTGCAGTAGATGAATATACAGAAGACATTGCTGAATTTGCAAATAGCTGGGCTGTGCAAACTGCAGATGATGTAGCTTGTGTACCTACTGCCTCAAATTTTTCCAGTCCTTGCTCAGCTGATGCAGAATCCACTGAGGTAAATTAATCATTCTTAATCTTCATAGCCTAGTGATGGTACAAGAATCTAGCAATATACACCATGTTGAAAAAAGCTTTAAATGAAATGAGGCTTTGAAAAGGAAGATTCAGATCAGGTCTGTTGCTAGGAAATGTCTGAATATCTTCAGATGTTTAGCTTCGAAGTACAAAGGCTTAGATAAGATGTGCCAAGTGGCACAGCTCTGCTGGCAGAGCTCTTCTTTGATGCAGTAAACTTGGGTTCAGTTTCCAGTCCTGGCATCTTGCACCTTATTATTTTGGAAATTGTGAAATCCTGCAGAAGTAACATGCTCAGCTCCTGCATTGACACAAAATGATTTTTTTTTGTCATTTCATGCTTTTTCATCCTAGCTGGTTTAGGAGCATCATGCAATCAAGACAGCCTAGGGAGAAAGGACAAATTTTTGGAAGACTAATGAAGGAGATATAATAATAAATTATGAGACTGAGAGATTCTGAAATTTTAATGGGGATCTAAAGGACCCTGAATTAAGGAAACAAAGCTAAAAAGAATGATGCTTGTCCAGAAAGTATTTACTAACTGTTGTTTACTGATTCTTCTTAATGCACAGGACATATTCTTCAAGTGCCAAATATTCCTACAGTTTCCTTTTCTCAGCTGTCATGAAAGCATAGATCCATATTCTTATATTTCTAGCTGCATGAATGATCTTTGCAGGTAAGACTGGAGTTCTTCTGTATTTAGTTTTGACACATGAAATGAATGCTCACACTTTTATTGGAGGCAAGAATTGAGCAGCACTGAGGGAAGTTAGGAAGAACCAAGCTCAAAATGAAAGAGATGGGGTTTCTCAGTGGGTGATTTAGTGTGGAAACAAAGGGCACAGAACAAGCCTTCTTAGGGATATTTTGATTGCTAAAGGTTGACATAGACTTAATGAAATACTAGGCAAATACATGGCAGAGAAATCCATGGAGAAACACTAATGATAAAAGAGGAGCTGCTAATCACAAAACCCCTGAAACCTGTACTTGGAGGCCCTGAATCAAAAATACATGAAGATGATACTAGGAGAAAATATGAATGATATTGAAGGAGCTGGATCATTTGTCTGACACAGCTGGACTTTTTTATGAGCCCTATGGTTCAAATTAGTAGAATTTCTCAAAATTGTTTTATTTATGTATATTCAGATTTGTCAAAAGAATTTCATAGTTCACTGGCTTTGGTGGGAGTTACACCCCCTCAACTGCTAGCATTATACGCACCCTGGTATTTTTTCCTTAACTCTCCGGACTCCTGTTTAGCTTTTGTCATTCAAGGTAAAGAGATGCTCCAGAGTGTAATTGAGGAGATGACTGAGCTCTGTACCACTTCCTTTTTAGTGTTTTTTTTAAATTAAGAAGTAATTGTCATAAGTAGCAGGATTTTTACCAGATACTATTATAGCCTTCTCAGTTTATCATCAATTTAATCAAAACCATACAAAATGATCACAAGACTAAAAGTAGAAGTCACTCAGCATAATCCATTACAACTCATTAGTTCATTATTGATGAATTTTTATGTCCCGATTTACCATGAAGTCAAGATGGAAGAATTTGTGTTTGTAGGCAAATCTCCAGAGTTTGCTTCCTGAAGTTTATGATCTGTACATTGATTGCACTCAGAGAAGAAATGAGTTGCCTCTGTATGGTCTCTTTGTAACTCAGGAGTTTATTGTGACTTTGCAGAAGAACAATGAGAGGCAAATTTTCAAAAAAGCAATTTTCAAATGTGATATTGCATCAGTGTCATAGTGTAAAGGCAGATTTGATTTTCGTGAATATATATACTTGTGTGTTGTATATGTGTGTTGATGTGAATTGTGTGAATGTTAAAAACCTTGAAGGAAGTTTCTGTGACTCAGAACCTCATTAATTTAGGCTTATTTCATTTATAAAAGAGACCTCTCTTCTTGTGTCTTAGTGTCAGTTCATGAAGTTTTTTTGTGGGGCCATAGTATATGCCAAGTATTCTTTTTATTAAGATCCGTTTAATTGGATTAGATAAGGAAAGCTGGAGAGACTCTGATCACTGTAACAAAGAGTATAGTGGTGCTTGATTTGATTCAGATGTGCTGAAAGCAGAATACAAACACAATATAATATATTCTTAAAACCATTAATTTTGGAAACATGATCTTGTGTGTTGAAAGACAAACTCAGCTGATCTTTCACAGTCATGCTTATAATAGAAATGTCTTCTTATGACTAGCTCATTTGGCATCAAGTCCTTCACAGTGAGTGATGGGAGCTTTTGGACTTTCACAGTAAAAAAACATTGGTGATATCTCATCTTGTGTGACTTAATCTGAACAAAATTTGTGTTTACCTAACACTGATGAATATCTTTTTACTTGGTCCTGGTAAAAGCATCCTGTACATCTTCTTCTGTATAGACTAAGGCAGAGATAATGCCTTTACCCAGGGTTGTGATATAAATCCCTGAGTCTGTCTACGGCATTCAGTGGATAATACTTCTGGTGCTGAGCACTTCAGCATAAGGTCAGAAGTCTGTCAACAGGGCTCTTCTTGCCTAAATTCAAGGACTGACAGGCAGTTAGAAGCTTGAACTTGTTACTTGGACCAGAATGTCTTTTGTCAGTGCAGGTCAGAGTTTTCACGTCATGCAGGAATGGTGGTTTTTACCAAATGATAAAAACACAACAGTGTATTCACTATAGCTTGCTCCTTTTCATAGTATTTTCACTATATGCTGTTATGACTGAGTGGTGTCAGCTATGTGTGAAGAATCCTGAGCAGTGTCCTGTGGCAGAGATTTGTAGATAGGATCTGAATTCCTTCATTACTCTCTTGTTTTATCATTTCAGAGCAGATGATGATGAAACATACTGCAGGGCGGTGACAGAGTACGCTAGAGCATGCTCTCACGCTGGGTCCCCAGTGCGGGACTGGAGGGATGACTTTCCTGCCTGTAGTAAGACCCTTTAACAAAGCATACTATGTGACCTTTGAGATACCCAATGTATTAATTTCAAATAATTCCATCTTGACAGCTTTGTCACTATAGGACTCAAAGCTGTTACTGAAGTAGATCAGCCAGCTTCACTTGCTGGAAAGCAATGAAGTCAGTGACTTGCTAGAGGAAGATTTTAATTCCATTGTGATCTGATCTAGATCAGTACAAAACTCATGTTTCAACAGATCACTTGAAACATTATGTGTGCTGATTATATTCTAGGACAAAGAACAAACATCTGCAGACATTTCATGTTGCCCCTCTTCCCAGATGACCTTTCAGCCTTTACTGGCCCTAAAGAATACTGTTAATCCAGCTTCTTCTAGTTATCACCACCACCCATCAACTGCAGTTCAGTCTCATGCACGAGATTTTGAACTAGCTGAGATATAAGCACACGTTACCCTGTCACAGAAACTATAACTTCTTTTGGAGGGGTGATGTAAGAATGTGCCAAAGAAAGACTTAACTATTGATGAGAGATTCACCACAGTTTGTTAGTTAAAACCTCTCCAAACAATCCATTGTACTTGATCTGAATAATTACCTATACTAGAAACACTGCACAACTGTTTATTTGAGGGAGGAAATTCTCCAGTATGGAAGGAGAAATCGCACTGATGTTCAATGTATGATGTATTTTTTCTAGCTGAGAAGTGTGAAGACAGCTTTGTACACCGTGACTGCATCAGTTGTTGTCCACCAACCTGCACATTTGAAAAAGACTGTCTTGGCAGCAACCTACACTGCTTAGATGGCTGTTACTGTCCAGATGGTAAGTACTGTCAATTTTATATGAATAAAATGTGTAAAGCTAATATCCAACATCATAATAAAGTTGTCAAAATAGATTGTGCTTAAGTTAAAGCCTGAAAATATGAATACTGTAAATTCTGCTCTAGCTGTTATTCTGACAGTGATTCCTCATTATACTGCGTTCTAAACATTTCTCTAGCATATAAAGGGGTCTCTGAATGAAATATCAGTTAAAATCTGGAGCCATCACTAATGCTTTTTACAATAAGATATTGCAAATCTGCTTTTATTTGAATTATTCCAAAATCTGTTGTGATTTATGTTAAACAGAGTGTGTCTTATATATGCTCTGTACAAGGAAGCAAATATGTGAGACCTGTACTCAACAAAAATCAGGTATTGGACTATGAACAGTCCTGTTTCAGAAGGGCTAAAGATACGTGATACCAGAATTTTTTCGTTTTTGAGTCTATACAGCTTTACATGCTTAAGGCAGACATTCTTCATAAAGCAGCCCCTTCGGAGTAACAACTGCTTTGAGAGAGCAACACTGTTCATCACTGTGAGCTCTCTGCACTCACCAGGCAACTCTTTTTGTTGGTCCCTGGGTAAGACTGGTGGGATCACCTTCCGGCAGATTTGAGTGTTTCAGTCAGATGGGGGAAAAGCAGTGATCCAGAGTGTTAACTTGGTTTTCATCTCATTTGTTAACTTCCCTCCTGATAGGTCTCATTATGGAAAATGGAACCTGTATCTCTGTGTCGAATTGTCCTTGTATTTATCATGGAACTGCCTTTCCTGTAGGCTCAAAAATTGAACAAGAATGTAGCAACTGGTACGTGAAAGCCTCCTGCCTGTTTACTCTCTCTGTGAGTGCTCCCCAGTGTTAGTTTAACATCATAGTCACATTTGCATTTTAAAGAATAGTTAGTATTTATGTTTTATAGTCTTGGCCCTGTCTATCACTAAAATATTCAGGCTAATCTATGGAAAGGTTGAATTCAAGACATACTAGTTAGTGAAATGCTTCTCTTTTTGCTAAAGATCTGAACACTGATTTTCTGTTTTGTGATTTTTCTTTCTAGTATTTGCATTGGTGGCATTTGGAACTGCACTGATCATGATTGTCCAGGTATCTGTATTGCATTATTCTTTTATCTCCTCAGTGAACATAGGAGATAAACTTTTCAGAAGACAACAGAAGCAAATATGATCCAAGGGCTTGGTATGCTAATTTAAGAAGAAAGATAAAGCAGATGGATGTTGAGCATAGCAGTGAGCCAGCTGGTACAAAGCTGCTAACTGCCTGACCATATTCATTTTACCTTTTCCTATTTGCTTCCCTAACTAAGTGTGTTACATCCAACTCTTGTTTTCTGTCTTCTGTTTATGCTCTATGTTCTTTGGGGCAGATGGCTTAGTTATACTGCCTCTGCAGTACCTAGGCCAGGTACAAGGATCTCCTCATTTCTAGGTGCAATTGTAATGCATATAATAAGAAACCCATCATTCTGATGATCAGTGTGCTGTATTTTCTCCCTTGTAACAGCAGTTCATGCTTGGATAATGACCCTTATCTTTAAAGATTACATGTCTCTGTACTGAGTTACTCAAGGGAACATGCTTTAGTTGGGTAGTCAAACTCCCTAGACAGTTCTGTATCTTAGATGAGATTATACTATGAAACTTGTGAAAGTGAGAATTGTTTACAAATTAAGGAGCCCCCTGTGACTGAGATAATGAACAAGGCTTAACAGTTACTAAGCAAAGCTTGACAGGTTGGATCTGTAGTGTAAAACAGTTGACACTGAAAACCACTTCACGTGTCTTGTCTGCGTACTGTGTGCATGTGGGGTTTAATTATAACTACTGTAGTCTGGTCCTAGGGGCTGAATGCCTGTTAGTAGCAGGAGCAGGTTAGATGTGCTCCCATAGAGTAGTTGCAGTAGTTGCAGCAGTTGCAGTAGTTGCAGCCGTTGCAGTAGTTGCAGCCAAAATGAATCTAGTTCATGTGCTCTGACACTGCCCCATGGTGTGAATGAAAGTGCAGTAAGTGGGGATCACTGGAGACTTGCTTCAGGAGTGCAGTCTTGATCTGAACTGGAAAATGAATATAGATGTGCCCTGAAGACAGCCACCTGCAGCCTCTTCATACGTGCAGTAACAAGCAGTGCCAGAGTACCCAGAAGGAAAGAGAAATAATCTTGCCTTCACACCCATTCATGACAAAAGATGATGAGGAAGGAGATTCTAGGAAACTTCAGAACTGTAATAAAGAGAAAACTCTTTTGAAATTTAAAGAATTCATGATTCAAAGGCATCCCATCTAGGTATAATCTGAAGACGCTGCACATTGATGTCTGCAATGTGAAATGGTATATCTGAAGAAAATAGTGGTATATAAAGTATTTTATTTCCAAATGCCATAATAGCTAGACAGATTAAAGTTACCCTGGATTATGTACTTAGAGTTAAGGAGAAAATTTCTTATTTATGTCTCCTACAAAGCTCACAGAATAATTATACATTTTTATGCAAGTAAACACTCATGTTTACCCTTTTTCTCTCAAGCTGAGTGCTCTATAACAGGTAGCTCTCACTTCACAACATTTGATGGACGTCATTTCACCTTTCTTGGGATTTGCCAGTACATTTTGGTAAAAGGCACTGGGAAAAACAAATTCACAATAACTTTACAGAAAGCACCTTGTGGACAGGTAAGTCACAAACATGTCCATCCATATTTCAGGCAATCTTGTATAAGTTCTGCTGTAAATTACTGGGCTATGGTTTATGTTTCATGTTTTCTGTTTATGCTTTAAACAGAAAATATAAACTGAAACAATTTCACAGCTTTTTATGTAAGCAGCTGTATTCCTACATATTGTGTTGCCTTTTGTAAAACAAATTGCATCTTTAGAGGGATAAAGTCAAGAGAGTTATTTACTTATGCACATTAAACAAGTATATATATCTTTGGCTATGGTACAAACAGATGTCCCAGGCTTTAGAAAAGCTCTTGCTGGCATCACTGAACAGATTTAATATGCTGCTAGGTAGGCAAGAGGGGTTTTTTTTGGTAACATTAGATTTTTATTTGATATGTTACAGCATATTTACTTTGTTGGAAAAATACCTTTTAGAAAACTACTGAAGAGACTAGCCACCACACATCTTTGTTTGAATATATTTTGGCAGGAATCCAACAACAGGCTTTACTAATAGAGGTGTTTATAAAAAGCACTTATCTGCGAGACTGGATTTAATGATGTTTTTAGTCACCTAGGCTCTCAGGAGAAGGAGCTCTGAGACTGTGACTCACAGCTACCAGTGTGCTGAGGGCTGGGATGGCTGAACTCATCAGCAGGGAGTGATACATTAAATCTGCCGTCCTAGGGGACTGTCTCTCAAAAGCTAGACTATGAACTGGCATATGATTTTTTCTGTAAGCACCTCCCTGTGTAAGCATAGGTGTTGAGCCTCCTGTTTCTGCGTTTCAGGTGGCCTCATGAAATGGTTGGTTAGGTAGCCACTGAGAGACAAGGATGCTACCGGAAATAACCCTTATCAAAATTCTAGGTACCTTGGAAAGTTTCAAGATGAAAACACAGGGGGCCTGGGAACCACAAGATGCTCGGTTTAGTCATGTATCACCTTTTGTCCTGTACTTAGGTTCATAAATTTTGCCTGGATAGTACTCTTAAAATGATGGGTGTGAGTTAGTTTATAAGTTACCAGTTTTTGACAGTCAGATACTGATATATTATTGCAGTATAATTCTGGAGAAAATATATCCTTTTGGTCTGCAGTCAAAGAGCATGACTACATTTCAAGGCGAGAAGTACCTTCATGTGTACAATAGTTTCTTTCTGCTGGATTGGCTGCATTTGGGCTCTGGTTGTACCAGCTTGCTATAGACGGGGTCAGACTTGCTCAAACACTGGTTAGCCCAGCAGTGAGGAGTACCCAGGGAGGCCATGCAAATATGGCCTTTTGAACCCAGTACCAGTACTGGCGACCTCAGTCCAATTGCTACTAGATTGCCATAAGAGCTAAAATGCATTCTCCTTGCTCTTATATGCATATGCAGGTTTTATTATATTCTAGATACAATTTAGGGTGCTCTGTTTAATGCTTTGAGTGACAGTTTACTACCTGATGACAGTTCTGGTACTCCCTTTCTATACAGCTGTTTTTTCTCATTTGTTTGGGTTTGCTTTCCATGGTAATACTAATGTCTCCGTTTCTGATGGTGAAACTCATTTCTACTTAGAACTTTGACCACGCCTGCATTGAGTCTATAACTCTAGTCCTTGAAGATGATGTGAGCAAACAAGTAACTCTCACGAGATATGGTCAAGTCCAAACTGGCCCTAACCAAGTTTTTAACCTTAATGGTAAGAAGTGCATGGAGTAGATACCAGAGTTCACATTCTTTCTTTTATATGCTCCAAAGCTTTCTAATAATATCTGTCTACGGAAAGGAATTCCTTCGAGCATAACTTATGAAACTCACAGTTGATTACTTCTTATAACCTCAGTAGTGGTTCTAGAGATATACTTTTCCAGCCTGTGAAATGGAGCCTTTCGTTATGCCTTCATTTCTTTGTATTTCTTACATTAGAGAGTACCTAGAATTCCACTAATTTTGTTAAAGGGAGAGGAGGTAAGAAAAAGAAGAGAGGCTAAGAGAGGCTGAAAATCATCTTGAGACTGATGTTAAGGTCTAGCTTAATTAAAGCTTATTGGAGTAAATGGCATGGAATCCATGTGCTTTGCAGGATCTACACTGCTTTCAATACTGATTTATATATCTGCCTGATTTCAGGCAGGTTACTTCATCTTTTCAGAATGGATAGTAAAATAAATTAGCCTTAAAAGAATTTTATAAAATTCAACATTGAAAGTGGACATGATATTGCTAAATTTCATATCTTACAGTGAGCTGTAGTGAGAAAGAGTAAAGCGGGAGTTCCTCTTTCCCAGCTTCTGGCAAAACAGAGTTTAGGGAGTTCTGTGTTAGTGCTTTCAACTGTATCTTTGTTGACTTTGTCGACTTTGTCCAGTCACAGTACTGCTTTTGACATTCACAGCTTCCTATGCAATGAACTTCATAGATCAGATATACTTTCAGTTATGTTGACAGTTCTACTTCATAACTTCATTTTAATTTAATTTTATCTCTTGAGTCAGTTTCTATTCACTGTTTTGTCTGTTTCCATACCCTGTGACAAATATAATTGATCACAAATATTTTGGTGTTAGATTCTTGATAGTTGGGTGTATCTAGTTAGTCTTATCAGTGAAGAATGTCTTTAAGCTCACACTTTGTCTGCCTCTTCTCAGTTTATGCATCAAAGTGTGTATGTGTGTGCATGTATAAAGGCTTTTTGTGAAGGTAGATCTGCTTTAACCCTGCAGCCGCAAGTAGCCCCACAATGTGTGGCAAATGAATGCTTTGGCTGGGAAATTTCCATTTTCTCACATAATGGATTTGCTGGGAAGGAAAGCTGGGAATTTGATAGTGTCTTAGCCTAAACAAGGAGCTGTACTGATGTCATGTCAGTCGTAGCAAGAGAGAACCTTCAATCTAAAGATTACAATACAGTTTACAGACATTTGCTAATTGATCTTATAACATCCCTGGAGACTAAGAAACAAGTGGTTTCTTGTGTTCTCATTGATGGAGGCATACAGTAGCATTGCTTTATTCTAAAAAAATAAATAAATGTGAGAATGGTTTCTGGATAACTCACAGGTACATAAAGGTGAGAGACTTTTTACTGTTGACAGTAGTTGCAATTCCTGATTTGTGTTGCTAATGAAAAAGAGATGTAGTCTCATAAGTTCAGATGGAGAATGGGTGAGGTTATTTGGCTGCAGGTGAGGCTGTGCAGTTTCTCATTTTAGTTTTAAGTTTTGAAAGTCTATTTTGCTTAAGAGGTAAACCAATACAACCTGGAAGCTGGATTTCAGTGCTCTTGTTTTTGTTTTTCTTTTTCTTTTGCTATGTGCAGGCGCTATTGAAATTCAGAATGTATCTTCTTTTTTTGTTCAACTGAAAACTAGTTTTGGTTTGAAGATACTATTTGCTAAAGATGGAGAGAGGATCTATGTTCAAGTTGATATTGGCTGGAAGAGAAGAACATTAGGACTATGTGGAACATACAACGGGAATTTAAGAGATGATTTTCTGTAAGTTGCACATTGTACATTTAGATTGTGTTTAAGAAGAATTTCATTTCGTTAACATGCTCGTACTTTATTAATCTAACCAAGGTAAACTCTCTTAATTAAAATGTTAGGGACTTAAAAATATGAAACACATAAAATTAACTAGGTCATAGAAAACTACCATATTATTTATAGAAGCTATAAGATAATGATATTTCTTGAATGTACTTTTTTCCCTCCCTGCTGCTCCCTTATCATCAGAGCAAATAGATGAGCAGTGACAAAAAGAGTGGATGATAATACTAGGATCATCCTACCTCATTAACACTTATTACTGCTTGATTCCCCATCAAGTTTTAATGGAGAAAAGAATGTAAGTGTGAACCATGGGAATAATTTAATCAGAAGGGCACATTTTCCTTATTCTTTTGCTTCATTTCCTCTAAAGTTCCTCAATCTATAATATTACAAAACTTCTCTAGCAATAACAAATGCTTCTGAAATACTTGGTGAAACCCAGCATCAAAATGCAAACAGCTCCCTTCTAGAACACTGACATTAACTAAGAGGTTAAATTTTTGACATTTCATTGAATTTACGAACTAAAATAAAGGCCAAATTCTCCTCTCATAAATGCCTCTTACAGCTGATTTCAGAGTACTTGAATTAGGTGTAAGTGAGGGCAGACTTTGTAAAAGTAGTTTTCACGAGTACCATATTGAGGAGAAAGCTTTGCTCCTCACAGATGGAAATTCTTTTGACAGGTTATGTTCAGTGTGACTATGCATCTAAGGCTTTTTGATGTACTTGTATCCTCACCCATGTAGCCCATAAGGTCAGCAGGACAATTGCAGTGTTGAGTTTTTCCTTTTCAGCTCTCCAGCAGGGATGATAGAAGGGACCCCGCAACTTCATGCAAATGCATGGAAGGTTTCCTCAGCTTGTTCTGTGCCTATCAACATTCCTGTGGTTGATCCCTGCAATGTTAATCAGCAAAATGGTATGTTTTCACATGTGAGTCTGGAATTACCTGTATCTTATAATTATGGGACATTTTTTGTTTTCTTTGCCAGTCAAGAGGAATGATACAATGACATTTCTAGCTTGATAAAGGAAGTACAAGAGACAGTGTCTTGCCAAGACAATGTTCAGATCAAAGGTCTTGTCTCTGCTTTCTCCATGCTTGTTGCATTAAAAGTTTCTTTATCCTTCATCTATGCTCTTTGACACAAACAGATGCAAACAATCTGAGCTTTGTGTATTTGTTCAAATTCCTGAGTAAAGACTTAGTTTTGGCTGGTTGACATGCCTATGTTTTGTGTTGAACTTTCACTGTCTCCTCCTTTCCATGTTGCTGTTCTTTTCAATTAATGAAGACAATGGGCAGACAGTAGTTGCCAATTTTGACAGAATTTAAACTAATGTTTTTAATGTTTCAGACATAGGGCCTCACTAAGGATGTGGGATTTGGCCATATTTGGAGCCTGCGGGAGCAAGCCTAGAATAACCATAAACTTTTAAGAATCTGGGGCATTCTGGCTTTCTATGCCTTTAGCATTGGCTGTCTTCTAAAGCAGTATATCTCAGCTGAGTTAGCTCTCTCCAAAATACTTCATACCCACCTTCAGTTCTGTGCTTCCTCAGTGAAGGCAAAGTTTGACATAAATGTAAGCTGCTTAGAGCAGTAGCGTGAACTAAATGACCCTCTGAGGTCCCTTCCAGCCTGAATTTTCTTGTGATCTTTTAATCATCACTGGAAAAAGCAGTCCCTGATTAAATGGTCCTGCCCCATGCTACCACCTGTACTGAGCCAGCACAAGCATCTCTCCAGGTTTGTGATAAACTTAATCTGATGAAACTGAAAAAGAAATTGCTTGTTTGTTTGGTCAGGTTACTTTTCAACCAAGTTCACTCCTTAAGTCTAGTTTACTGAGACTACAGAAATCCTTATGTCAGTGTGTGTATGTGGGAAGGAACAGGGAGGATGCAGGGTAGGGATGCTCTTTCAACAGAATCATAGAATACCAGGTTGGAAGGGACCTCAAGGTTCATCTGGTCCAACTTTTCTAGGAAAAACATGACCTAGACTAGATGGCTCAGCACCCTGTCCAGCTGGATATTAAAAGTGTTCCGTGTTGGGGAATCCACCACTTTGTTGGGGAGATTATTGCAATGGTTGAGTGTTCTCATTGTGAAAAATTTTCCTGTAGTGTTCAACCAGAATCTCCCCAGGAGTAAGTTGTCTTTATTACTCCTTGTCTTTCCCATGTGACTCCTTGTAAAAAATATTCTGTGCTATTCATTTGAGTAACTATCACATTAAAATGGATCAGGCTAAACCAGTGTTGCCTTCTCTTAGCTGGGTATGCATCTCACTGTGATATCATCAACCAAGAAGTTTTTGCTCCCTGTCATGCCTACATCAGTCCAGGGTTATACTACCAGCAATGCCGCTTTGACGCGTGCAAATGCGGAAGCAGCTGTTTGTGTAATGCTTTGGCACACTATGCTTACGTGTGTGGCAAGCACGGCATCGTCGCTGACTTCAGATCTCATATTTCTTACTGTGGTGAGTAATGTTTGCAGAATGGAACGTCTTTTGGAAATGTCTAAAATTCTATTTACTCCACAAAGTACAGGGATTGACCTTTTCTGCTGGAAACTAGAATTGTGCCATGGGATAATGACATATTCAGGGGAGAACACAAATAGCCTTTACAGTAGGCGTCTGAGTCGGGGACCCTGAGCTGTCTTACAGGGAACACCTGCCCCTTTCCGCTAGCTGCAGAGAGAATTTAAATTTCTGGCTTTAAACACCTTAATCATATGGAAGCTTCTATTAGGCTAAAGTAGTCAGGTAGTGGCAGGAACAAGACTGTTCCTAAGGAAAGGCAAGCCAGGGTGGCAGGGGCTCCCTGGGTCAGGCAGGGAAGGGTAGAAAATGATTCGCCAAGTAGGATATAGCAATAATTTTAAACAAGGCATTTTTAAACCATACAGTAATGCCTCAGCCTTAACTAGACCATTTTTCCTCTCTTGGGTGCCTAAGTTACTAGATAGACACACCCACACATATAAAGAATAGACGTCTACTGCTTACAAAATAGACAATTCCAGCCAAGGAACTGTCTAACATAAACCCACCTGAATCTAAATAGTTCTAACTTATGAAATCAGTAAACCAGCATGTTTTTCTCATGCATTTCAACTCACCCCAGTGCAGCAAGAGAACATTTTGCTTTTCTGTTTTGCAATTCCATTATACGCTGCTTCGTTTTCTATTTTTCACATTTTAAGAGTGTGTTCTCCCTTTTCTCTCCCTCTCTCTCCTCCAGCTGTGATGTGTCACGGTGGTATGCTTTATCATCAGTGTTCTTCTTTTTGTAAACATTCCTGTGCTTCACTTTCTATGGCAAATATCTGTGGTGATGACTGTGCAGAAGGATGTAATTGTCCCGATGGGAAATATTTTGAAGAGTCGGTCAACTTCTGTGTGTCGATGTAAGTCATAAGAAAATAGAATCTATGCATATGCATATTTTCCCCTTTCCAGAAAGATTTAAAGTAGTTTTTCTGATGTCTTCCTCAAGATGTAGACTGCCTAAACAGGATAACAAACAATATACGAAGATTTCATATTCTTTTGTACTAATCAATAGTGGGGCCTCATCTGCTTTGTGTGCAGTCATCTACTGCACTTCAGAGAAGATACATTACTGCTTTAAAGAAAGGCAATGAAACTTTATTAATTCATGGGAAAGCATGTTTCTAACACTTAAGAAAAAAATAGAATCTATGTAGTAGCAATCTGTAAAGAGGGATCATACAGTGAAAGTAGATAGGAGTGTCTTTTACTATCTCACAATGCAAACCCCTTCAGTTAAATGGAAGGAAATGCTCAATGAAAGGAAATAGTTTTTGTTCTTTACTGTGGGAATGGTGAAGCACTGGAACATGCTGCCCAAAGAAGTTGTGAATGCTCCATCACTGGCAGTGTTCAAGGCTAGACTGGATGGGGCCTTGAGCAACCTGGTCTAGTGGAAGGCGTTCCTGCCTATGGCACAGGGGTTGGAACTGGATGATCTTAAGGTCCTTTCCAACCCAAACCATTCTAAGATTCTATGATTGTGTACTGACATTTTACAGCTCACCGTCATGCGGAGTTACTGAGTTCAGGCACTGAATTAAAAATTGGAATGAGAACTTGTATTAATTTCACAATTATACAGAGCTATTGCTCTTCATTGTACATATATTTTGAAAAGACAGTAAAGTTCATATTGTAGGGATAAAGACTCTTTCAAACTATTAAAGAGTGTGAGGTAACTTGGATTCCCATATTTTCCGTGGTTTCTAGGGAATTCTGTTGCTGTTCTATCCCATCAGGCTCTTATCACAGACAGAGTTAATAGATTTTGCTACAGTAATTCTTACATCCCAAGATTCTGACAGTAACTTGAATGGGAACTACATATTGCCCTACTATTCCCATAACTGGGAAGGAAAGCTCCTTTCTGTAAGACAAATGAACAGAAACAGCAAGTAAATGATACAGAGACTGAGGAAAATCCTGGCATTGTTGAAGATGGGAGGAGTTTTGCTACTGACTTCAATACAGTCAGATGGTCATCCTTTAGTTTTTGACCTTAGAAAAGTGTTGTAAATATTAAGATTAAGCTAATGAATTGTAAGGCCTGCTTATCGTATTAGCTTGATAAATGGATTGCTCTTAAATCCACATTTCATCTTGCTTTTGTAGTTACATAAATGCTCTTTTAACAGATCTGCCTGTCATTGTCATTACAAGGGCAAAGTCCTCCAGCCTGGAGAAATCCTCCCTACACCAACAGGCTCCTGGTAGGTTTGAGCTCCAAGAATTTTACCTTTCATGTATCACAGTCTGTATGCTACTCTAGGGTGTTGAGAATTCTTTCAGTAGAATGAAAGTCTATTGTATTAAGATTTTATTTTTGTTACACACTTAGTAATAGGGAGCCTAATAGAAATTGGATTACGTACCTGCTTATTTTAACAACAGGATACCTGGAAAATTTTGTAAGCTAGTGACTAAAGAATATCTCAAAACACACACATAGCGGATCCAGTCCTGTTCTTAGACTTGGGGGTGTTATGATAGCAATACGAGACTGGTTTTGGAAGAATAAACAATGTGATTCTATTTTAGAAAGTCTTTCAAACAAAAGCTTGCAGAGAGCTATATTTGTGTCATTTTGTATTATTAATTCATGATGGAATCCTGACCCCACTGAAACAAATGGGAAGCCTCCCAAGTTTCCTGGTCAAACTTGTTCATTTTACAAGAAATGCTCTCCACCTGCTGATCTAAAATCATGTTTGTGACTTTTGTGCCAAGCTTAATTCTTGCTGAGGTCTTATATATTATAGTTGTTATAACTGAAGCTTGATAATCATGTAGTTCAAGAGGTGAGAGTAGGGGCTTCTTTTTCTGCCATTGCTATGCCTCTGCAATGTTGCTTTTTCCACATTTTTTTTTTGTTTTTAAATAAAAGTAAAAAATAAGGACTAGGTTTATTGTTGAATGCGGTTTTCTCTAATTCTGTATTTTATCATAATAGAATCAAGATGTGTCTCCTAACGTCTGTGCACCAAAAAATTTGCCTACTGTATCCTTCCATATTCCCCAACACACGTAAGGTTTTGTGTAACACTGCCAGCAGCCTGAATCACCTGGCCCTTTGCTCCCACAGAAGCTGACATACCCAGCCTCTTTTTTATTTCAGTGAAATTTAGGCAATCAAATAGTACACAAACTTCTTTGTGAGTCTGGGCCCTCATTACAGATCACTGGTTAGAAAACCAAAAAATCAAGAAATTGCTGGTTAGAACCCATGCTTTTAGATTTTAATCCTCCTTCTCCTCCTTATTTCTAAACAGGGTTAAGATGTATTATCTTTTTTAACATGTATTCTCCTTTTTAACCTTTTCCCCTTGAATTGAAGATAGGCTTGCTTTTGTTTTTCAGTCAGTGTTTAAACGGAACAGTGAAATGTATTGAAGCCACTACAGAAAATACAGGTAATTTACAGTTTTGTCTCATATTAGAGTTGCACAGAGAAAGTTTTTTAGATTGCATAGTTGTTTGGTTTTCTCCTTATATGTATTTTCATTATGAGATACTTAACATCACGACATGTTTAAAAAAAGAGGTGAGGAGCACAAGTTGTCTTGGTTGTCAAAGTTTTTTCTTTGTCTTTTTTCTGTAGCACACACTGTACTAGTAAGTCATTTGGGAAATTGAAAAATTAAATAGTTGCATGTGAGGTGTAGGTCAGTATGTTCTTGTGGGAATACCTAAAATTAGGCTCACTATCCATGTTTAGGAAGCCTGAAAGTGTTGATCTCTAGAAAGCAAATTTTTAATGAATTTCTAATGGTTTAGAAGGGATTTCAGTACACTGAAAATTATGCCACTTCTAAAGATTCTGTCTACCTAAGGCATAATTATTCCATCTTTAAGAATGGGCTGTGTATCAGATCCAGGGTGCATAGATCCAGATGCTTAATATAAATAATGCTGTAGTACAAGTGAAGTTACAGAATTTTATCCAGATTGTGCTCTTACGTGTACTGTAAACAGTACACGTAACAAATAGACTGTGAACAAAAACAAACAGAAAACCTTCAGGGTAAAAGAGCAGTTGATCTCATTTAACCTGCATTTTACATTTGAAGTTCACATATGCCCTGAAGGAAAAGTCTACTATGACTGCAGATCTCCTGTGCCTGGATTACCAGCAGCGGGTGTGAATTGCGGGATCTCTTGTGCGAACCTTGCCATGAACTTCTCCTGTGTCCCCTCACCACCCTGTGGAAGTGGCTGCATTTGCCCCCCTGGGTAAGCTTTGGCAGAACAACGTGGAACACAAGCTACATACGTATTTTTCACAATTTAACATGGCATATTTTGTTTTACTTTTTAAATTCCAGTGGTATCACACCTCTAAATCTGAACCTACTGCTCTCTAAAATTTTTGTGGTTATACAAAAGGACAACTCTTTCTTTCTTCTCTGAGACCCCTTTTCTCATTCTTGCTGGCGTGAGGCTTTGTGCTATAATACTGCTTCAGTTGGAGTTCCACAGTTTGTCAATGCTGAGACCATGATTCCACTATCCCATGAGATATCCAGCTTGCTACCAGTCTGATTGGCTGGTATTTGGGACTCTTTAGACAGGAGATGATTCCCACCATTTGAAGTATAATTTATTTGATTGTAGAAACAAACATAAAAAAAAAAAGGCAATGTAAGCCATCTGTACTCCTGCTTACTGCCCAAGTAATTGTCTCACCTAGACTTCTACTCAGGCTTACAGTACTGATGTCTAACCTGGATCAAGGGGGAGGGGTTTGTGGGGTGGAACCTGCTCTATTCACACTCATGCTTTCTGCCATTTCGAACTCAGCCAAAGTTTTTTTCTCAGCACATGTATTTGGATTTGGTGCCCAGAAACAGTCTGCTGAGATTTGCAGAGGTCAATCCAAGTACAAAGCCTAAAAGCATTTGTTATTAAGTTACTGTCAGGATCAGCTACCACTCCCTCTTTTCCATTCCCTCCCATGATGCCTGATACGTGCATTTTCAGATTTAAAGAGTCAAATATGCTGTGCAGATTGCTGCAATTTGACCTCAGGTGAAGTGCTCCCTGTTTTTTCTCAAGATTTGGTTTTATTTCACTGCATGTATAGCCTGACAGTATATCAGCTGTGCACAGATCAGAATGTAAGGAGACTACCAGAATTCCCCTTCCAGCAGCTTGTGATGTTCATAGATGATTAAGCAATGGTGAAAGACAGACTTCAGGCACAGCACTGGTGAAGGGCAGATTTCAGGCACAGCTATTCAAGATTTCACTGGTTGTGCTTGCCTTTGTAGTCCTATACAACCTCTGCAACTGAGGAGTTAGCTTTCAAGACCATTAGCGTTACAGGAATAAAGAATTATTTTTAACACAAATACGCACAAATTTATTCAAGGAATCATATAAAAACTAGTAAATTTTTACTTAAACATCAACATGACATTTGCATGAACTTAAACTAGCAGCATTGTCATGAAAGTTAATTCGAAAATTTGAAATAATTAAAATACATGTTAAAAAAACAGAGCTAAAGCCCTGCTTTCATAGTCAAGTAGTATTACACCATTTCAAATAGAATGTTACTTGAATATTTTTTTCATTATAAACTATAAAAGGGATACAAACAATCCAAATCCCAAATAATGGAATAGAACACATGAATTATTTTGTTAAGTAAGAGAATAAACACTTAGTTTATTAGATAGAAAAGTAAATGTGCAACATTTAGTGCAGTTAATGCCATAATTGCTGTTAAATTGTATTTCTGATGCCATTATGCCTTTCAGGCTCATGGTTCCAGCTAGGAAGGGGCCATAAGGGTTATCTTGAAAATGGGGTTCACAAGTTCTCCTTTTTATACAAGAAAATATTAAGCATATATGTTATGCTATTAAAGCTATATTGACAAGTCATGAAAGCCTTGTTATGAGAAGTTTTACTGTTATGTCATTTCTTTATTCTCCTAGAATCATAGAATCATAGAATAGTTAGGGTTGGAAAGGATCTTAAGATCATTTAGTTCCAATCCTCCTGCCATGGGCAGGGACACCTCACGCTAAACCATGTCACCCAAGGCTCTGTCCAACCTGGCCTTGAACACTGCCAGGGATCGAGCATCCACAAAGTTCCTGGGCAAACCATTCCAGTGCCTCACCATCCTTACAGTAAAGAATTTCTTCCTTATATCCAATCTAAACTTTCCCTGTTTAAGTTTTAACTTGTTACCCCTTATCCTATCACTACAGTCCCTGATGAAGAGTCCCTCCCCAGCATCCTTATGAGGCCCCTTCAGATACTGGAAGGCTGCTATGAGGTCTCCACACAGCCTTCTCTTCTCCAGCCTGAACAGCCCCAACTTTCTCAGCCTGTCTTCATACAGGAGGTGCTCCAGTCCCCTGATCATCCTCGTGGCCCTTCTCTGGACTTGTTCCAACAGTTCCATGTCCTTTTTATGTTGAGGACACCAGAACTGCACACAATACTCCAGGTGAGATCTCACAAGAGCAGAGTAGAGGGGCAGGATCACAGATCACAGATCACAGATCACAGTATGTTAGAGATTGGAAGGGACCTCGAAAGATCATCTAGTCCAATCCCCCTGCCGGAGCAGGAACACCTAGATAATGTTACACAGGAATGCGTCGCCTCCTTCGACCTGCTGGTCACACTCCTTTTGCTGCAGCCCAGGATACGGTTGGCTTTCTGGGCTGCGAGTGCATGCTGAAGCTGGCTCATGTTGAGTTTCTCAACAACCAACACCCCCAAGGTCCTTCTCTGCTGGGCTGCTCTGAATCTCTTCTCTGCCCAACCTGTAACTGTGCCTGCGATTGCTTCGACCCAGGTGTAGGACCTTGCACTTGGCATGGTTAAACTTCATGAGGTTGGCATCAGCCCACCTCACAAGTGTGTCAAGGTCCCTCTGGATGGCATTCCTTCCCTCCAGCATATCAACCGAACCACACAGCTTGGTGTCATCGGCAAACTTGCTGAGGGCGCACTCAATCCCACTGTCCATGTCAACGACAAAGATGTAAAACAAGACCGGTCCCAACACCGATCCCTGAGGGACACCACTCGTTACTGGTCTCCAGCTGGACATTGAGCCATTGACCACAACTCTTTGTGTGTGGCCATCCATCCAGTTCTTTATCCACCGAGTGGTCCATCCATCAAATTGATGTCTCTTCAATTTAGGGACAAGGATGTCATGTGGGACAGTGTCGAACGCTTTACACAAGTCCAGGTAGATGACATCAACTGCTCTACCCCTGTCCATCAGTTCTGTAGCCCCATCATAGAAGGCCACCAAATTGGTCAGGCAGGATTTCCCCTTAGTGAAGCCATGCTGGCTGTCGCCAAGCACCTTGTTGTTTTTCATGTGCCTTAGCATGCCTTCCAAGAGAATGTGCTCCAAGATTTTGCCAGGCACAGAGGTGAGACTGACTGGTCTGTAATTCCCCAGGTCATCCATTTTCCCCTTCTTGAAAATGGGGGTTATATTTCCCTTTTTCCGGTCGTCAGGAACTTCACCTGACTCCCATGATTTTTCAAATATGATGACCAGTGGCTTAGCAACTTCATTCCCCTGCTCCTTCAGGACTCATGGGTGGATTTCATCAGGTCCTATAGACTTATGCATGATCAGGTTCTTAAGATGTTGTTCTTTGTTTTTTCTTTCCTACCTGATTTCTACCACTACCCACTGTTTGAGCCAATCACCTAACATTACTGGGTGGAATCTTGAATTCTTCTGGAGACTGGCACCTTATTCTAGCATCCCTGGTACTTACAGTGCTCATAAAGTAAAGCAGCCTGTGAGTGGTATTGAAAACCTTTCCTTTGGAAATCCATGACTGGATGGGCTCTAGTATGCACAAAATGGTCCTCTTCAAGTAAAAATGTTTTACATATTCCACTGTTAAAATTCTTGCACAACAGCTTGCAGATTTTTAATCAGTAGTCGAAGAGGTGGCAAAGCATAAGAAACATTGAAAGTCTCTGGTATGCCATAAAAACTGAATAGAATAGCTCCAAATTTCTTGAGGAAATGAGCTGAGAATGACAGTAAATTTGTCATGCAACGATACACTGAAAGTCACCCTAAGATTGAGCTGGAGATGTAAGAGGATAAGCTGAATTACAGAAATACAGAAGAGTAGTATGGAAAGGGACCTCATGGGGCTAAGCTATTCTTCTGCCCTTAGGTGGCATCAGCAGTAACTATATTGGTTTTGGCAGACATTTAACTTTCATTGACAGAGACTCTAAATGACCTCCCCAAGCCATCCATTCTAGTGCTTTCATATCTCTAACCATTTTTCTGAACACTTGACTCTTTTTCTTAAAAGCAATGTAACTTTAATGAACCAGTAATTATGGGGAGGAGAAAACTCATCTGTGCATTCCTTTGAATTTCAACTTCAAGTGAAATAATCTCAAGATAATTCTTTGAAAACACATCTACCTTTGCCCTCAGTCATGTGTAGCAATGACAACTGCAGGAATTGCTCCTGTAAAGAGCAGAATTGGGAGTGTCAGTAACATTTGTTATTTAAAATTAATGTTGCTAAGCAGATGGAAACAAGGGGATAACAAAAAGTGGTAAACCACATCTCTGATTTACTTACTCATGATCTAATAAGATTTCCTGCTTTTTGCATTTAGTCATACTGTTTTGTCTTAACCTTGATAGCTGTTTCCACTTCCCTTTTGTAGGCAGGTCCACTGCCCTATGTAAACCACATTTCTTTTGTCCTGCTAACTCCGCAAGAGTTGCCATAGTCCAGCTCACTATCCTGTGCTCAGAACGGGATGGTTGCTGCTCTGTGCAGAGGAGCAGGTACATCAGTCCAGCTGCTTTCCTGGAGAGGGGAACCAGGAAGCAGCAGAGAGGGAAGGGAAGCCTGGCTGCAGCCTCAGCAGTGTCTGTAACACACAGATGCTCTGCAGATTGCAGAGAGGAATAACTACATTACTTGCATTGCTTACATAGAAGCTGCTGCCCCACCCCAACATACCCATTTCAAAGTAGGAGAGCTGCAGCTGTGAGCTTTGTGAGGTCTCCACTTGTGCACAGGAGGTCATTTGATTCAGAAAGCTTTTGCCAAAGCTGGTTGCTTCTGGTGGGGTTTAGACAAACACATTCAGACATGCTGATCTTCCTGTGAATTTACACTTTCATTTCAATAATTCTTTTATTTTGAAGGATGGCTGAGCACAGAGGGAAATGTTATATTCCTGACAGCTGTCCATGCACCTGGAAAGACAGGGAATTTCTGTCAGGAGAAGTGATAGCTACACCATGTTACACCTGGTGAGTAACATGCATTTTGCATACTTCCAGATCACCTTGGTCTAGTCACAGAGTGAATCTGATATAGCAAATGTGCTGAGTACATTAAATAATCAAAAATGTATCTACTTATTTATAGACAGTTCCAGAATTCGTCTTTTATTAGGATCAATCATAGACTTGGAAGAGTAGGCAGATTTTTGGGTGAGTGCTTCTTCAGGTCTGAAAATGACACAAAAGATACCCAAGTTAAAAACCAGTCAAGAGCAAGCACCTGATTCCACACGTATCAGTTAATCTCTGAAAGAAAAGACATTTGACATTTTGGAGAATAGAATGTCATGAAAGACAACTACGGGGAAAAAGGAGGAATCAAATGAATGACGGTGGTAAATAGTCCGATCCTTCGGGAACTGAACTGTTTGCATTGTGAGTTACCAGTCAGTATGAGCGACTATACAAGAAGAAAATGGGGAAATAAAAAAGCATGAGAACTGGAAAACATGTTAGTGCCCAGCATCTTTATTAGGGAGCCTTACCAGTTTTTCATCCATTATAATTTGCTAGCCAAAATATCTATTTACATTTAAGTTTGGCATGGCAGCTTTTAATCGGTTAAAAACTTAACTGGCAAATCAATTGAGTTTATACACTTACACAAGCAAAACTAGAAGCTGTCAGTACTACCTTCACGAAAATTCATGAAAGTCACTGAACGTAGCTGGCAGGAAAAGTAATCCTGCAAAATATCAGTATTTATTTCTTAATCTCATTCCATACTTGTCTGAATACTTATAGGTAGTAACTGGAGGTCTTTTGCATTACGTATGTGCAGATTTTCATCAAAATTTCTTGAGGAAAAATAATATTGATGTTTTATGAATATGTTGTGGCATGGTATCTTATCTATGCTGGCAGCTGTGATGGAAATATTTGTATAAGGCATAAAAATGTTAAGGTTTTACATTTACATTCATTTCTTATGCATTTTTATCATACATATGTCCTGATAGCAACGCGCTCAATGCTTTTGTGCTGTGGCATCACCAATAACTTCAAATGCAATCCACAGAATAGCTGTGTTTGAAGGTCTGAGAATTTTCTTCCTTTCATGAATTTCTGCATGGCTTGAAATGAAGAACCCAAGAAAGCTTTTTATGGAAGAAAAAAAAAAAAAGAAAGAAAATGACCCTGCTATGAGAAAATAGTGATTGTTAATTTTCCTTTACAGTGTTTGTCGGAAAGGGATATTCAATTGTACTAGTTACCCCTGTCCTGCTGTATGCACTGTTTATGGAGATCGACATTATTATACCTTTGACGGATTAGAATATGACTATATCAGTGACTGCCAAGCTTACCTGCTAAAGGTAGGAGGGTTGTTCATACATTTTAATGTGTCCCAGTGAAAGTTCCTGTGAAAGGGCAAGTATTTTGAACATTGGGACTCATCTATAGAAACAGACATTAAGAAAACAGGTGCAGAACAGATGTCTCTGAAAGGAGGAATCTGAAAATGACATTTTGTGTTCAGCCATTTGAAAATGGTACATGGGTGTGTCCTAATGTATCTTTGTGGTCTAGAGAAAAACAGAAAAATATGTTTTCTATATTGACCATGCTTTCATTGCAAGGGGCGAAAAATAACACTATAGAAACTGTTCTAGAACTAGGTAAAATCTATAGATTTATTTAATACTTATCTATAAACTCTACTTGGTAGAAGGTTAATGATGACCTCTGAGGCTGCTTGGAATCCTTCTTGAATGCAGTCTGCATCAGATCAGGGGCGTATGTGTATAATATCAAACACAGTGATTTCATAATTCAACAATGAAATCCTTCACTGAGACTGTCTGGCAGCTACATGCTAATGCTTCTTATAGCACACATTTACAGTACATTGCTAGCCTTTTTTGTTTAAAAATACCATTACTGACATTTAGAAATACATTATATTACTAACAACACTATTGTTTATTATCATTGTTGCTATCATTGACTAAGAGTCTGTCTTCTGAGTTACAGTAACGTGTTTAGAAGAATATTCATTTTCAGTCAACCCTGACTGTCTAACCTTAAGGAAAAACATGGTTTCTCAACAAGGACTACTGCAGACATTTTATCTCATGTCTGTTTGAGTATTCACAGCTGTGAAATAAAATAGATTGGGTCCAGATTTTTTAATTTGGTAAAAAAAAAAAAAAATAAAGGAGAGAGAGATCTGGCAAAAATAATAAGAAATGCCTCATAACAAGCTCCTGGTGTGTATCATATTGTCTCATAGAAAAGCTCGTACTCTTAGAGGTATATGAACCTTTGCACAAACCTTCCTCCTTTAAGATGCAAAAAATAAGGGTTACTTGTGAAATAATCTTGCTTGTATGATGAGGTGGAAAGGTGGGCTGCCATTCTTAATTCTTATGCCATTCAGCCAGAGAGGTGGGTAACACAAATATATGCTGCTTTTCCAAACATTAGTATGATACTGGAATGTTTTGCTTTTACAAATCAAATGTCACCTGCCAATCTAGTGTGTAAGAAAGTACCTATCTGGAAGCAAACCATGGGGATTATTTGGAGTCCAAGAATAAAGTTGGCAGCCACATAATTAGGGCAGGTGGCACACTGCCCACAGGCCTTTCTTCAGGTGAACATGATGACACAAGTGACGATCTGCCTACATAGATCTGCTTTTCAGATTTTTTTTCAGCTTGTCAAACTTTTTCCCCCCAAAATGAGCTAATGTGAGAAAGTATGGCCTAGCTTGTTCACCATTTTTCTTTCCTCTTTAGCATACAGAAAACTTTCCTGATCTATATTGAAGAACTGTTTATCACAAATTAGCCACTGCATAATTATGTCTGGAGTGGATAATGTACCTCTGAGCTCATTTTTGACTGTGAAATGTTTGGAGAAGTTTAAGGAAAAATAAAATAAAATAAAAAAAAACAAAACAAAAGATGGATGGGATCATATGTCAGATGCCCAAAAGCTTTGCGTGAACTAAGACACAGAACTGACGAACTGTGTGCTGTGCAATCCTGGAATCAGAGGAATGAAAGATGGCAGTATAGCCAAGTATTTTAAAAGGACTCTGTGGCTGAATTTGGCAGGAACAGACCAATATGTCTGATTTGCATATGAAGGAAATGAATGGAAATTATAATAAGGAAATAACAATTGGGAAGAGTTGTACTCTTTTTAAAAAAAAAAATTAATGCACGATAAATCTTCTGAGTTATTCCATGAAGACAATATACACGTGGACGACCAGGTCAATGTGTGCGTATTTTAGCTTAAAGACCTGTTGGAGACAAATGCCAACAAATATTTTTTAGAGGGTAGTTTCTCAGAGGATGAGAGTGCAGACTGTTTGAGACCCAAATTAAAAATTAGAAGTTAAAATACAGGAATAAATGGCCTTTTTATAGAATGGAGAGACCCCAATGACATCCCACGCACATCCATGCTGAGACCTGTGTTCATCATCTTCACAAATGATTTTGAACAGGTGGTCTGAGGACTGAGGTGGAGTATGCTGATAGTAGAGAATCAGTCTGAACAACTGAAACAAAAACAGACCACCAAAATGTGCAGAGGATTTTATGGCAGAAAACACTGCATGATAAAACGGAGGATGAAATTCAACAATGAAATATGCCAATCAGTGAACAGAAAAAATAACTTTAACTCTGCTGCCATGAAGATAGGCACTAAATTAGCTACAGCTATGGAGGAATGGAATTTTATGTGAGAAAAATATATGGAAGAGATGTAATTGGCATCTTCCTAGTGGCAGCCTGAGTGATAATCAAAAGTGTCTTCAGTTCTCTAGTTTCACATATTCTCTTATTTGCATGTACACAGTTACACCACAGTTGTACCACATACATGTGGGCACTTGTACCACATACTGATATGTCTAAACTGCATTATATGTGCAGACATGATAACATGGTGAGGATGCTCTCTTTTGAAATACACTTTGTGGCTCTTAGAACAGAGGTTTCATGTCTGTCTCTTCATAACCATCCCTACACTGTGCAGTGACATTTTGTAATAGTAGTATCAGAGTAGTATAATGAGTCTCCATTGAGCTACTCATTGTTCAGAAAGTATGCAAGAAAGCCCTGTCTCTTATAGCCTATTACCCGAAAAAACAAGCCAGATAAAAGGTGGAAAAGTATATGTGGTTGCAAAAGTTTAAATGCCTTGTCCAACACCTTGTCAGGCACAGCTGTCCAGGGCAATCTTGCAATCTAAAATATGCTACCTGTTCTACATACCAACATATACATATATATGTATATGTACAGGTATATTGAACTTAAATTGTAGAATCATAGAATGGTTTGGGTTGGAAGGAACCTTTAAAGAACACCTAGTCTAACCCCCACCACCATGGGAGCTATGTGCTGTGAGCTTTGTGTTCCCCATCTGTGAGGTAGTACAGAACATCATAGGTTTGATCGTTACTAGTACACAATCCGTTGATATATTGGTAGTTCTCAGTGTTGTGATGAGCTGATTTTTATGAATAACATCTAAAAGACTCACCAAATACCTGAAATTGAAACATCTGAACTGGTTGTTATGTTAGACATCAAACATTGTAATAACTTTGCCCTTTCCTGTTTTCTAATCTTTTTCCTGTAAGAAGTGGATTGCTTTGTCTTTGTTATCTTACATACTCTAAACAAAGCTGTTGTAGCAGTGCAATAAGGGAAATAATACATATCATAAATTTGTTAGCATACTAGCTCTTCCCATACGTAGAACTGAGTTCAAGAATTATAATCTGAATCCTACATCCCCAGTGGCATGATAATGTACTATTCCCATCAATGTTACCAGCCCCCACTGTTTAATTTAACTGTTAGCCTCCCTAAATGTGATCTGTTTGAACTGCTGTTTAATTTGTCACTGTATTGCACTAGACCAAACAAAGAAGTCATCCTTACCTTTTACTATGTTTTTAATAAGGAGTTCTTGTGCTCTTATGGGAGAAAAATCAAGTATCAACTTTCAGCCAATTATGAATCCTCAAACTTTGTTTTCAACATCAGTATCATCTGTCAGGACTTTTTGTTTAAGGTGACAGTAGATCTTTATAACTAGTTCAACCGATATATCTCTTGGTCATAAAATGACCATAAAGATTTAATGCAGCAATTAAGAAATTAGGACAGTAATGTTTCATAAAGTGATAACTTCATCTCTTTCAGGGAATTAGGAGTTACATTACACACTGAGAAGTGAAGTCCCTGTATGGATAAATGACATTCACAGAGAAGAAATCAATACTTGCTAACATTTTGAAACTTCAGTAATTTCAAAGGAAAACCAGAAAAATCTTAGCAAATTCATTTGAATTTTATCAATGTAGATCATGTAAACGCATTGTTTTAGCTGATCTGGATACTGATGAATTTAAACCAACTAATTTCTTAATTTAAAAGATTTAAATATCTTGCTTTCTTCTATTTTCTTCTCTCTTTGATGAGGCTACATACTTTCCCTAACAAAGTGGTGTTATTATTCTAGGAAAATTTTACTGTGTGTTATCTATACTTGTGGTCTATTTCTTCCACTTGTCTGTTTCATAAATTTATGCCTTCATAGTAAGCTTACTCTTTCTGTCACGTATCTTGGCCTTTGTCTAGCTTTGCAGTGGTTTTCCATCCTCCAGTTCAATCTGGTTATTAAGGCTTGTTGAGTCTGTGTCCTTGGAACCCCTCAGACTTGTTCTCTTCTGAAAATCAGAACTGTATTTTCTCTGATTTGAGGGAATGTCCAAGCAGGAATTTGGATGGTTAGTCTACCCATCAGAATATACTTAAATGTGAGGGAGCTCTGTTGTAATGTTTATCTGCCATTAAAAAAACCCATCAAACTAACAAAACAACCCACTGAGGTCTTTCCATTAACTTTAGTAGGTTTTCAATAAGGTCCTAAAGCCAAAAAAAAGGAAAGACTGTTTTATTCTTGTATCCCGAAAGATGGAGGTCAGCAGAACTAAGCCCTCATCCTCAAGTATTCACATTTTATGGATTACTCTAAAGTAATACTCTAAAGTATGTGATAAAAATATTTTCACTTCTTTTCATCTGACATTGAAGGTTTGGCTATTTTAAAGTCACCTTTTCAATCTTTTTGATGCAACCATGAAAGCTGCTTTAAAGGCAAGTTTATCACTAGATTTAGTGTGTTGGAGTATCATTAAAGCAACAACCAGACGTCTGATCAAATAATTGAACTGTTATGTCAGTAAGAAGCATGGATGTAACTCTTCTGGGTCAGGAGACACCACATGAGAGCCCATTTGTTAAGGTAGTGGTTCATTCAACAAAACATGCATGATCTGGTG